TTATTATTAGCCACAGTGAATTTAAATTATATATGATGCATGCATTTCATAATCACTTTTTCTTCAAATTAAAAATTTTGATTGAGACTGAGTTATACAAATGCAATCAATATTTTTTGAAATTCTTATATTTTAATTTTTTTCAATATATAAAAAAAATTATTTACTTCAGGATTTCTATCAAGATTTTGAGGTAATAATACACGTCAAAATTGAATCGATAAAAATTTTAATTGTTTACAGCAGGTGCAACTCATATACTGAAATTTAATTATTTTAATATATATAATTAATTAAATACAAAATTGTTTAATGAGAAAAAATAATTTTTATAAATGTGAAAGCATCTGGATTTAAGGATTTATCATCATGTTGTCATGTTTGAAAATTGCAATTATATACTAATAATGTGGTTATTACAGAAAGATTAATTAGATTAAATTCGAACCCAATAAACATTTCTTGAACCTAGATTAATTATCGCATTTGGAAGTGATCAGAGGTGCAAAATATCTCTCGCAGAGTAATCAGCACCCGCCGCAAGGTTCAATTCATCACACACTATTAATTCTAGCCCTCGTGAGAAGTTAAAGATTAAAAGCTGCCTCTGAAAAAATAGGATTATGACCTCTCTAGCGCACAAATAATGATCTCCTCACTTCGATTACCACGCCGGCTGAAAACGAAAAAAAGCACAGCTCAGCCGGAGTTTCTCCGAGAGCTTTTTGCACAAACAAAACGTCAAACTGGACTCTTACAAAAGAAAGAAAACCGCCGCTCATTTTTGCCAACTGCCTAGAGCGGAAACGTGAGATTTTCATATAAGAGTCTAATTAATGGCTGGATGAGCACTCATTATGTTTCTCCATTTGGCCATGTAAATCGAGCCGTGCATCATTGATTGCTCTCTTATATAAATTTTCTCAGGTGCGCGGCCAGAGTTCCGAGAAGCCGAATCCAAATCACCGTGACTAACTCAATTTGCGGGCGTGCTCTTGATACTTTTTTGCCGCGCGCGAATCTCGCTCGGAGAGCAGCGTTTGAGAGAAAAAATCTTCTTTGATCGTCGGCAACGCACACATTTAATTACTCACTCACGGGCAGAGATCCGATAGTGCATCCGGCGCTTTTTGAAGTTACCGGCGGTGAATTTCATTAATCGGCGATGGCCTTGCGGAGAAAAAATATATTATAAAGTTCCGAGCGCGCTTGTCAATTAATTCGCCGTGAAATTGGATATTAGCTAAACCCACGTGTGGTCTGTCTGTTTGGATCAAACGCAAAAGTGCAGAGCCGCATGGCCAACGCGTTTTTTTTTTGTCCAGTAAAAATGGAGAGAACGGACGGAGCCTGTGGTGGAGAAAATTTTGATTGACACTCCAACGGAAGAATTTTTGCAAAGTGAATGATTTCTTTATTTTTGGCTTATTGGGCTATTTAAAAGTAACAAAGCAATTTTTCTAATTTCTCAACTTATACTAAAAAAGTGGCAAAAATGTAATTGAAAAATTTTAGAAATTTTAGAAAATTTATAAAAATAGTTTTTAATATTATTGTGAATTACATAACAGAACTAATTTAATATTTTTTAATACATGCATATTATAATTCATAAAAAAAGCATTCATAACAAAAATTAGCCTGTGATCATAGCAACAAAAAGTCTGTAGAATACCCATGAGTGAGGAGGCCAGAGTAAATTTCAAGAATTTGAAGCTCATTTCCATGAGAAGAATTTTTGCTGAACTTATATACATACTACAGCTTATCGATTATATATATTAATAATTTTTGTTCCCATAAAAAGTTTTTCAAGACAGCTCGGGACAGAAATTAATATTGATTTTCTTGATTTTATGATCCATAAAATCTTAGATTCCCACACAGAAAATTAATTTTATTATATGTTGTATTATTTCTTGCTCGATCGAATTGAGTGTATTCTCTTATCTGATTTAGAGAAGCATTCACTGCCGAATAAAATCGTCAACATGTTTATAATGTCCCTCGCCAATAAATCTGTAGGAATCTACGCGCTCATTAGCATTATACCTAATTTTAATTAAAATCAAGATAGCGGCTCGCCGACTGCGTATAAAATCAGAAAAATCTGTCCCCTCGCGGGAAAAATCCACAAACGGGAGATGGACGCAGAATAATTTTAATGATCATCGCCGCGGTATCAGAGAGGCAATATTAATCAAGCAGCGAGCGGCGGAATAAAATCTGGGCTTGAAATCTCCAATTATAGGATTTATAGGTGCAAAGCGAGTGAGAGAGCAAGCCATACAGGCACAAATAATATCATGGGAGCTAAGCGGCCTCGTCTCTCAGTTTGTGGTAGCAGACATAACAGAGCTGCAATCGCACGAGCTGCCGTTCTAATTAATCCGATCACGAAAGCCACAACTGGCTCCGGCTCCCATTGGGTGTTTTTATTTGGAAAAATTAAAAATCCGGCCGAGCTTAATTCCGAGGCTCGTCCAGTCACGCAACGCCGGAGAGGAGCAGCCGGCGAAAAAAAATTGAAGCCTATAATTTGAAAATTACACGAAGGAGCTGCCGTTGCTGCTCCTGCTGGTGCCCGAGGCTGATCGAGAAGGAGCCAATCTTATTTATTATTCGCGGTGGTATTTATGGCCGTGCTGGCAATTACACCGCCATTGTCACGCCCTGTTTCGAAAACCAGTCTGCAAATTAAGCCGACGATGCAGCCTTGTGCGATTGGCCTGGCTCCGTGGACGCCGCCTGCCAATCACGGACACACAACACACAACCTGATGCACTCTGCGCACCTGCTGATGGCTGCTGTCCAAACGAACCGTCAACGACGTCCAACAAATTTGTAAGCAATTTTGTGCCAACTTAATATTGCTCAAAATTTTTTATTCCCGCAGCCCACAAAATTTTCGTTGCTTATTTTTGCTATGCACGGTCAGGTTTTTTTCTTAAAACATCTTATTTTGCCAAAAAGTGAGCTTTTATTCTTTTGGTATTTCATGAGATCAAAACAAAGTAATTAAAGAGATCGCTAAATATTGTATAATATATTATATTTTGATGTTTTTTAAATATATTTTGGAACATATTATGTAAAAAACTACTTTTCTCTGTGAAGTTTTTAGTCAAAATAAGAATTGACTCCTAAAAACAAATATCGTTTTTGAACTAATTTTAGTTTTTGAACTGAAATAAATTGCCATATTTTTGTGTCTGGATTCAAGTTAGTTTTAATATGAAAAATTTTTAGTGAATATCCAGTCATCAAGTGTTCAACGAACAGGATTTTTTTTTAAACTTTTTGATATTTTTGTTTAAATTAAACATTTTCTCTTATTAATATTGAGAATACTATTCTTCACACTGCCAAGTTTGTTTTGAATTTGATCATCAATAATTCAAATTTTGGTAGCATTTTTAAGCAAAACGTTTCTTCTTTCTTCTCTTTTGACTTGCACTGACTTTTTATCGAGGCGCTAAAAAAAACTGACGCATTTTCCCTGCTGCTAGTTCTAAAAGTGGGAGATTTTTACAGCTATTTAAAGAAGTCTTTTAAGCGCTTTTAAGAACAGTCTTCGCTGTGTTTTTGCAGGAATGTTAATTTTGATCACAAGCATAAATTCTCAATTCGCGCCTCTTCGAAGCACTTTCCAGGGGCTCTTTCTTTCTTGTTTTCCTCTCTTATTCTCGGTGGCAATCGCTTCAGTGCTGCCGACTTGAGTAATTGCTTCTTGCGCGGCTGATTACATGAGACGCTGTTCACTGCATTTACACATCTCACTTGTTCTTCGGCAGCGCACGTTATTTAAGCTTTTAGCCTCCTGCATTTTTGTCTGCCAAGTCGCCAACATCTCCCTAGTGCGCGATCTTTGTGAATAATCAGACGTCTAATGCGTTGCTAATTCAATACCACACCTTAAAATTGCTCAGTGCTAAAAGACTTCAAGTGGTACAATTTTTAATGTTATCGACATGCTGTACAGGCTACATATTAGCTACAAAGTAATTTTATATTTGGCCACGTTTATATTTTCAGAGTTCTTTATATTAATCAGTCAAAAAGGAAAAGAAAATAAATGAATTTTGAAGTCAATCAGTTGTGAAAAAAATTGCATTATTTGATATTAAAAAATGAATTATTAATCGATATCATTTTTTTTATTAGGCTCTATAGTTGCTTTTCATTTTCAATACTGCAATCAATGAAATCAATCATCAATCCCTCCCTCAGCAGTCGGCAATATAATAATAATAATAATAGTAATGCAAAAAAGTTTTTCTTCAATGGTTAAAAGATCAGCATTATGAAGTAAGCAAAGCGTCCGCTTCAGTCAGCAGGGAGCAGCACCATGCAGAATATAAAGAGAGAAGAGACTTTCAAATATTTTGTTTTGCCCCGAATTTTTATATTAATAGTTAAGCATGCGAAAACAAATTTCTCAACCATTAAAATCGTGCTATAGAGTACCACTTATGAAACTTATGGTTGAAATTTGATCGATGTTTTCATAAAATTAATAAATTGGAATAATTTGTTGATGTGAAAATTTTTTGCTCTCCATTGCTTATACAAGAAACAATTATCAAAATTATCCAACTATCTAAAAATGATAGAATTGAGATAATAAAGCTGCTAAAGATGCTCTTACTGCCTACATTATTTACTGTCTAGAACCGCTTGCTTGCCATCACGCAGCACCTTTGTAAACCGCAGCAAGAATGTATAATTTTTTTTCAATGTTCCAAAAATTTTAAAATTATTAACCTGTGAATATGAATTAGAAAAAATAATTGGTGAAACAAAGAAAAAGAAATAAATGGAATTCAGCTAACTTGATCAAACTTCTAATGGAAGCGATTACTTTTGAATGTATTGTACAAAAGTTTCAGTTATGTAATAAACATACAAATGTGAAATTTTCTTAAAATCATATTAAGAGTAACTTTCAAAGATATTTTCAAAAAATTTAACTTGCGAAAATATTGAATGAAAAATTGTATTGTGTTTGAAATGCGACTTAAAATTTATTTGCATCACTTTTTCATGTCAAATATGTACTTGCATCCAGTAAAGCCCTTGGACGTCATTGCATTATCAATGGCCTCTTTGAAATCAGAAAATGGCACTAGCCTGTGTTTAGGAGGTTGCAGCTTCTTCTCGAGAATCATCCACGTAATGTCCTCATACATTTTGGCCCACTTTTCGCTGCCTTGGTTTTCTTTATTCCACCTGGTCATCCAGTAGCCAACAAATCGGAGATCCTTGAAGATCAGGGCAGTGGTGGGCACAGTCAGAGGTTCCCGAGACATTCCTCCGTACGTGACCAAAACGCCTTTGTTGGCCAGCTGCCGGATGACCTCCAAGGCATTTTTACCTCCGACACAGTTCAAACCAAGCACTGGTTTTGCAACTGATTTACTCTTGAAAATGTCTGTTGTCCTGTGAAATTTAATTGAGCATTAAATCCAGGTACTTCGAATATTTTCAAGCTAGTGCATTTCAAGCATTAAAAATAGACATTTTTTTTTAACATTTCAAAAGGTTATTTTATCTGTTATCGTAAAATTAAAATACCTCAATTCCTCTTCAGTCAAGACAACATCAGCACCAAGATTTTCCAATTCTTGTTTCAATATGTCGATATCAGGCCTATTGCGAACAATGTTTACGGACTTGATTCCCAACGCCTTGCACATCTGAATCACACTCTGTCCGACAGCACTATTGGCTCCGTTTTGAATGACGACATCGCCACCGTTTAAAGAGACAAAGTCCTTCAACATTCTGTAGGCAGTGCAAGGATTCACACTCAATGTGGCAGCCTCTACAGGGCTCAAGTCTGATGAGACCTTTAATGTGCAAAGTAATATTAAAATTTTTATTCTCTTTTATTATTAATAACGTAATACCTTAAAAATTTGGTGTTGAGGGCAGACGGCATATGTGCGCCAAGTGCCCCATGCATTAATTGCAGGCAAAACTCGGTCACCAACTTTGAGCTGCGTGACTTCTGACCCAACCTCCACAATTTCACCGACACCTTCGTTTCCTCCAATAAAGGGAATGTCTGGTTTTACGGCGTACGAGCCTTGGATTGTGTTGATGTCGGCGGGGTTCACAGTAGCTGCCAGCATTTGAACTTTGACCTGCAAGAAAATTTGCAACATTTAAATAATGTATCATAAAATTTCTCGGTAGATTTTGATTTATTCAATTTTGCAATAAAATTACATTTTTATTTAATTATCGTAACTACATATTATAATTTTGTGTCGTAATGTTCAGAGCAAGCAAAGTATGTACCTCGTCGGATTTAAGACTTGGCAAAGTGTCTTCCACCATGGATAACGATTTTATCGGCTCTCCGTATTGTGTCACAATTAATTTATGGCAAACTGTCGACTTTTGACGGCGGACATGGTTGAAAATCGAATAAATCGGCACTGCGGTTCGCCGAAGGAATACTCCAGCAGCGGCCATTGTTTATGTTTTGAAGTGCTCGATTTTGCCGTTGGGGCGCTGTTGACAGGTCTCAACCAATGACAGGAAAGTATTTAGGGATGAGGGAGGACTGGAGTCAACAGGCGCGAAAAATTCCAGTCTCAAAAGCATGGACCTAATAATTTCATCTAGTAAATCAATGCTCAAAAGCTCTTCACTCTTTTCGTCTCCGATCTCCGATATAAAAAATTTATTGAAATTGATCATTGTTCTTAACGTCTGAAATTAAAATGTGATTGATAAAATGTTCAAAAGCTGAATTGATAGCTAATTCCATCTTTTGATATTATAAATGTTTTTAGTTTTATGCTAGAGTTGATAAAATTTGAAAGTTTACAATGCAACCCTTGATATAACATAATCTATAGAGCGCTATAGAGTAAGATTCCACAATTTACAAAAAAGAAAAAAAATAATAATTAATGTTTTTTAAGCGGTAACTTTTGTGATAGTTGAAAAAATTAAAGTTTATTTTATATTTAGTGTCAGACTGGTGTCAGATTTATCCAATTTTTACAGATCTTGGAAAACAGACAATCAAAAAGAGTAATACTCTTTGTCAGTATGTCAGTGACTTCTGAGCCTGAAGTGAACAAAATGAAGTACATAATTTTAATTTATCAATTACTAATACAAATATTTCAGGAAAGTGCAACAAAGAATTTATTATCTTATATTTACATTCATTTCTTCAGTTTTTTTTTCATTTTGCTCTAGAAATTAAATACACAAACCTTAGTAAAAAAAGAGTGATAATAAAGCTTACTTTTTTGCAAGAACGAAAGAAACAAAAGTTTTCAATTAAAAACAATATACATGATGCATGTATGTTTCGACGGAATAGAGATGTCAAAGGATCAAAAGATTTAACTAAGCTGCTTTTTGCTTCAATCATTTATGTCTACTTTTTAGCAAACCAGTAAATAAATATTAAAAGCTTCCAAGAGCTATATGATGGAAAACAGCAACAAGAGCAGCAGCGGTGAGAATTTTGTGCGACTTCAGTCTAGGTAAGGCCTGCTTTGAGCAGTGCGGTCACTCATTGACATGCAGTCGCTGAATCTCTTGCGACACGTCGTCCAAGTCCTCTTCAGTAGAGGGAGATCGAACGTCCTCAAGGGAGCGAGATCGAAACAGTGGCGTTGTCGGCGCCACCAGCAGCAATGGAACCTTAGGCTCCTCTTCCGGCGTGTCCCCATTTTCACTTTTTGTTCGCACACGCTCTTCTCGCCGCCAAGGGATGTTGTATGGCTTCATGTGGTGTTGCCTGAAATAGCAGAATACAAAATAATTAAGCGTTACTTAAGGTAAGTCATATCAAGTTCTTTCAATAATAAAATTTTTTTTTTTGAAGAGCCACTTTTCTTTTGAATATTTGTTTTGAATATAAATCTAATATCAATTAATGGATTTGATTATGCCCATTAAGATAGAAATTCTTTTCAATTCATTTTGTTAAAAAAAAAAATAGTTACCTGTGTGAGTTGATAGAAAGCTGCGCCAGTTTTGCAGGACAGCTGCGTCTGTATGGGGTGGAGAGGTTGGCATTTTGGGAGGCCAAGAACTCTCCCATCAATGTCGTGGGAGCCACACAGAAGAGAGTCCTGCTCCTGAAATGGTTCTCCTGGCCCTGGCACACTCCCCGGCACACGCCGTGCACTGCCGACTCGGCCCCTGACAGGTTCCACGTCTGGCACGGCTGCAGAGCGGCCCTCTCGCAGCAGCCCTGCAGTCGAAAGTGCTCCAAGTGCTCCCGCAGAAAAGTTGGTCTTGGGGTCACTCTGCTTCCACTCAGCAGCCCTAGTTCCTGGATGGCGTCATTTAAGCCGGCAAATGGCCCTGTTTCGCTCGCCATGCTATTCAAACTAAAGGGAAAAAACCTGATTTAATAAATCATTTTGTTGTGCTTAAACAAGGGGAGGCACATGTAGTCATAATAAAATTTAACAATTTTAATTTTTTTGGTGAAAATCATAAGTTTTTTTTTAAACTAAAAAATGCCATAGCAGATTATCAAAACACCTGGTTTTTAGATCAATAAAATCTAGAAAGAACACGCAAAATTTTGGCATCTTCAAAATAAAATTATTTTGCAGATTAAACGAGGGAGTTTTGTGATACAAGATGTTTAACCCTCCAGTTGATATAAATATTTCCATTAAAAAAAAGAAAAAGAAAAGGAATAAAACGGAATAAAATATTTTAACTTATCTCCATTTCTAAACCTCGAGTTTGTGGGCTTTTAACGAGTTAAAAAAGCATTTTCCCCTAAATAAATAAAAAGGATAAAAAGTAAAAAAAATTAATATATAAAAAAAATTTATTCCAGACGGTTTTTTTATAACTATTCAATTCAAGTACTGATAAGATTTACGTTTAAAAAAATGCGAAACAAGAAATGAAAATCAAACGATCCTCATACAAAACCATCATCTCTCCTTTCTAAAAATTCGAGACTTTTTACTTTTGTTTATGCTACGCAAACTAACCCCCCTGAGAGTGCGTTTAATTTCTCAATGCAATCATACAAAATTAAATGAAATCCTCCAAATCCTCTGGCACACAATAGAGATGAAAGTTAGAAATTTTCCTGCTCGGATCAAAACCTATAGTCCGAGGATCAAAATAACAAATTTAATAGCTCGCTCATACATTTTGTCGTGCGAGCGAGCGATGAGAACGAAAGGAATGGAGTGGCCCTCTCCAGCGAAGGTCCCGATTGACCCAAATTGGCAAGTCCCGCAGGAGTTTCTGCGCCTCACCTGAGTCTGCACGTGGGTGTCACATGCGTCCGGACGCGAAATAGGACACGTTTGATACCAGCTTGTCCGAAATCGTTGCGTCCTGTCCAGATAAAGTCGCTGCAAAAGTGACTGCTGTGACTCGCCCTTCTTGTTTTGCTTTTGCATTAAACCCTTTTTACGCGACGTTGCCGCCAATCAGGCAGTCTCTCGTCTATTCAGGCCGGCCCGCATTGCGAACATTACCGATTCTTGCAAAACGATTACAAATTGTTATTACCATTTGGAAAACTGACTTAAAAGTGCCAGTTTTACCTTTTTAATGATTAAAACAACTAAATCAATTAATTCTGAGGTAAAATCAAATAATATTTTGATGTTGTTCATTATTTATTTACAAAATTTCTGAACTTGTAACTGAAAACCGGTATATTTTGGCTCGTTGCGGTTTTTTGGCCTCTGTTGTGCCTTATTTGGCAACGCCGCACACCTGCAGATGTGCTTGCCCGAGGCCGAACGATTCACGGAGTGTTTTGTTTTCCCTTCGAAAATGATTCGGCCCGACCTGGAAATTTTGATTTACGACTGAACTTTTGGCATTCAGGTAATTTTTTCGTTGTTTATAGATAACTGGCAATACACCCCTTTGACCCTAAGTGTCTTAAAACCGTCGCTCTTGTGTTTTCTTGAAAAACTCGGTCATCTCATCTACCCCAATGATTGTCATTCTGTTGAAGTGGTTTTGTCTTACGAATTTTTTTCCTTTAAATCAACTGCAGGGACGTTGGAGGCATGGAATTACATTGGCACTTTGCAAACATGGGGATGCATATATTGATTTTTGTACTTATTTAAATTTGCAATTTATCCTGATTATATACATACGAATTATAAGCGAATTGTCACTGTTTAATTTGTGACATTGTGTAGTATGTTTTTCAACGTTTTCAAATAATAGGCTATGCTTTAAATTTAACTCTCGGGATCTTTATCATGAATTATAGTAACATCTCAAATACATACATAATTACTTTAAAAATTGTACAACTCAAATCACATCATTTTTGTACAATATATTTTTTATAATTAATTTTTAACTTTTATTGATCTTTGAAGGGGCGATGTTTTTAAAAGTGAATTAAAAATATTTTACCAACAATTAATTTCAGGCATGGCTGCAAGCAAGGTGCCGGACTTCAGCTATTCTTGTGAGATCTGTGGGCTCGAAGGGCTCAATGATGAGCAGCTGCGCACCCACATGTTGTTCCAACACGTTGAGGGCGCCGTCTCTTGCCCTTTCTGCGACCTTGGGGACATCTCGGCTGACGAGTTGATGGTGCACGTGAACAGCACGCACCTTGAGTACCTGACGCCTGAGCATGAGCTGATGGCCTTCATTGACGATGACGACCAGCTTCAGTACTCGACTGCTTCTGCTGCTTCACCCGAGATTGAACTCGAAGGCAGCACCTCTGAGCCTTACTACAGCACCTTGCAGCGATACCTTGAAAAGGCAAAAGTCCACGAAGACAGGGTAATCATATGCATATTAAAATTGGGCTTATTTCATATTTTATTCTCCTTTTTTTTATCAAAAATTTTGTAGAAATAAAACTATGAATTTTATTGTTTTTAAATATCCTTTCATAAATAAATATTGCACTTTAAATATGAAGAATTTACAAGTCAATTTACAAATTCAAATTATATTCATATTATCAAAGGTTTTATATTTATTTATTTACAAAAAATCATCTTTATAAACAGAAATTAAGTTAATTTTTTTATTGCAGCAACTTGAGGAGCTACCAAAAGAAAATGGGGAGACGTGGACTTGGGACCAGCAGCATAATAACAACCTCAACAACAATAACAACAACAATGATGATGAAGAAGAAGAAGGAGAACCACTGGGCCCACCAGCTCCACAGCATCTTGTTGAGAAAAGACAACCCCAAGGGTCACCCCTTCGATCTCAGATGTCTCTTAATTTGAAGCAAAAATCTAGTCCGGCTAAGGTTGTAGCACAGGTAAATTCCTGTTCAATAATTAGATTGTTAGATGCTGCTCCACACTTGACAGATCAATGTCTTGTTCTATATACAGCTCAATTTTAGCTGACAGCCAATCAAACCATGTCTAGTCAATAATTGATTATTGATCAATATTAAATTTTATACATATTTATCTTTTATACACAATAACTTAATTAATTTGCTTAGGTGGAACAGCAATGTCCGCTGTGTCCTTTCAAACACTCATCGCCAGTATTACTTGAAGAGCACATCAATCGAGCCCACTTTGATCTCACTAGTCCCTCTTTTCCTCCTGCCGATCCTACGCCTCACTACAATGGAGGTTGCGCTCCTTTGGCAACTTTCAGCGGAGGTGCTTCTGCTAGACAAAAAGACTACCACTGTCCCTTCTGCAGCAGGAGTTTTTACGACACACCAGACTTGGAACTTCACGTCAACATCGAGCATAAAGACATCCTCAGCCCATGCAAAGTATAAATTAATGCTGTGCTGATTTTATGATACTCAAACAATTTCATCTCTATTAGCCAACAAGTGTCAGATCGAGGGTAGAATCTGGCAGTGCTGAGGGCTGCCCTGTTTGCTGCATGACTGGCTTTAGGGACCATCGGGAAATGACTCGGCACATTGAAGAGCATTTTAATCAAAAAGGTAATAATGTCAAAAAGTAAAATTTTCAAAGCCTAATGGAAAAAATCAGGAGTCACCCCAATCACACCAGACGTGTCTAGTGATAGGATGCTTGCTAGAGAGATCGAGAAACGGGAAAAGGAAGTGAGACGTCAAAGAGAGCAAAAGGAATTTGAAATGCTCAGGGTAAAAAATTTTGTAAATTTATTTCCATATATTTTCAAAAATATTTTTGTCTTAGGCTCAATATGGGATGGACAATCAAGGAAACTTTCGAGAGCAGAGCATGACAAATATGCAAAAAGCAGTATACGCAGGAGAAATGAGTGTTTCTGATTATTATGAGAGACAGTGTGAACTGAAAACAGCTGAGCAAAATGGTGTCGATGATAGCAGCTCTTGCACCAAAGGTAAATTTAATGGTGTTTAACGTAACAAAATTAAGTTTTTTTTTTTTATAAATTCCCTCTAGACCTGGTGCCTAAAATACGAAGCTTCAGTGCTTCGAGCCCTAGTGTGGTGAACACCTTCATGTGCACCACAGTTGACCACTATGCTTCAACCTATGGAGACAAGGGCTGGGGTTGTGGTTACAGGAACATGCAAATGCTGATATCATCTTTGCTGCACCACACTGGGTACAACGAGCAGCTGTACAAGCCCTCCTTGGTTGGTGGGGGAATCTTTGGCTTTGCAGTGGCCAGCTACGATCAACCTAATTCCCACAGTGCGCCTCTTGGAGTGGAGATGGTTTGTTATTATATAAGATCTCATGTTAAAGTACAAATAATTTTTCATTCAGGTCAGCCGAAGTTCAATACCATCAATTTCAAGGCTTCAACAGCACATCGAGTGGGCCTGGCGCCAGGGATTTGACCTGCAGGGCTGTGATCAACTGGGAGGCAAACTCTTCAATACCCGAAAGTGGATAGGGGCAACCGAGGTAGTAACATTCTTCTCGTCCTTAAGAATTCGTTGCCAGCTGGCTGATTTCCATCGTCCGACTGCCCCCGACGGTAGCCACCCAGAGATGTTCAATTGGGTGCTGCAATACTTCCAGAGAAATGATGAATTCAAACCTCCCCTTTATTTGCAACATCAAGGTACTTTAAATTGATTTATTATGATTACAAAGTTCAAGCAATGCCGTTTTTTTCATTAGGCCACAGTCGAACCATTGTTGGAGTGGAACAGTTGAAAGATGGAAACATCAATCTTATTGTTTTTGACCCCAGCCACACACCACAGCAAATGAACCAGTTGCACGGGACGGCAACTGCAGCTGCGGGGATGCGCCTGATCAAAAAATCTTTGGCAGCCATGAAGGCGCGGCAGTACCAGTTGGTGGCAGTTACAGGAATAATGGACACAGAGTATGACTATCAGGTGTGTTTTGTCCCTAATTATGTATTTCATGTTACTGAAGTAAATTTTACAGCAAAGCAAAATACTTCGTTCCATTAGAGTGCCTCAAGACCGATGATCAAGACAGCTGCTTCAAGTGCCCAGTATGCATGCTGCGTTAGATGATGACGACTTACTCAATATGTGATGCAACAAAAGTAGTTAAATTATGCAAAATATTACAAATCTAATCACTATTTCAATGGGTTCCCACTCCGTTGTGTCTGCACGAACTGTGTCCGAGCAATACTTGTTACGCTATTTTTAATTGCTTTGCCTTGTGAAGATGAATCAGAAACTCTACGAAATTGTTATTTGTTTATCAGAGTGGGTCTGCCTATTTGCCTACTGATGTTGATGCCAGCCTTTATTGCTGCCTGTAGATGAATATCTGGGTTTTTTTGTTAGTTTTGAAATTTATTACAAAAAATTTTGCCCGAAGAAAGTTCCTGATTTTTATTGTATTCAAGTTTTTTATTTAAGTGATGTTACATCCACATGTGGAGCACATTTTTACCATGCAGGTGTATGTACTTCTTGTGATCACGAAACGTAGTTTCAACTTGACATGTCCTAAGGAACACTGAAACCAGTAGACTCCACCAGCCACTCCTTGCACCTGGCTATAAATCCATTATCTCTCACCTAACACTCATTTTGCTTGACAACCCCACAAGTCTCCTATTCACAGAATTATTTTATCAAATGCAATAATTATTATTATGTAAAATGCAAATTTTCAAAATTTGGAGCTGACGAACAAAAAATTTAAATAAGTTTATTTTAAAATTCGAACTGCCAGTCATCCATGAAATTATAACACATTAATTATATAAGTTTAAAAATACTCTATGCACTCCCTAATTCAGTAGCCCTAGACAGTGAAATCTTTGAACAATTAATAATAATTATTACTTTTTTTCTCGGTTGAAAAATACATCTAAATTTTACTTTTACCTGATGAATGTTGCTCAACCTGAATTAGTGAATTGCGTTTTGAACTTACCTCTCTTACAATTAATCAAGCAAACATGAATTTTTAAATAATCAAAATTAGCGGGTTTAAAGTTAAAAAATATCAGCCAGTTTGAAATCTTCATTTTTGAATAGTTGTCAGTCAGCTAGAGCATGTTAAAAATATATTTATCGCAACATTGAAAAAGAGAATTGAAATCAGCACCTAATTTTAATAAAAGTTGCAGCTCCAAAAATTTTATGGTCAGATCTAGAAGCAGATACTACACACACACTATTTGGGTAGAATTTCATCACATTCCATAATTCATAATTCACTAAACTGCTCCTGACCGATTGTGAAAAATTCAGTGATAAAAAACAATTGATCGACCATTGTGAAATTCCATGACTAACACACAAATGAACAATAAATTGCATTAATTTGCCACCTACACTAAATAGCATTTATCATTCAACCCAGTATAAAAGCTTTAATTTGTAAAATAAATAATATTATAGTGAGAAGGAAAGTTTTGCGGTGTTTTAATTGAAACGCCGCTTATTTTTGATGGGAAAAATTTGGAGCCAATTATTTTTTAGTAGAATTCAAAAAAAGATATTCTGCGCTAGATATTGTCTGAGGGCTGCAATCAGCTGTAGCCAAAATTATTTAGCAAATGATAAGTACGATTTTAAGTTTTTTAAATAAAAAAAAGTCTGAAGAGAAATTAATTTTTCAAATTAACTAATTAACTCATAAAATAATGACACAATTTTATGCATAATCTGAACCTGATCTGACCAATCATTGCAATTTTGTGTTTATAATAATTTATTTAATAGTTGGAAATGTTGAAAAATATAACCTCTGGAAAAAAATAAATTATGAGAAAAAATATGACTTAATTCATATTTGATGTAATAATAATTTATGTCAAAGTGATTCATATCTTCATGAGTCAGTTTTGTGGCTCCAGGCAGAAATAACTGCAATAAATATTATTGAATTTTTTCTTTTTTCTGCTAAAACATTTAATAATATGTATAACCCAATTGTGGAAAAGCCAAAATCAAATTCAATTATATGTATGCAAATACTCACAAATGATCCCTACATCATGAAATTCATCAACAAAAAAGGATAGTTTTGTTGAAAAAATATACTAGAGGTGAAATAAATTCAAGTGAAATATATTTTTGTATTTTTTTTAACACATAGTTATTAAATTAACATTGAGAACAGATGACTTTGGCAAAGGTGAATTGATAAATTTATCTACAAAAATGTCTACACCTATATATTATGTACATACAACCTCTTGATGTGTATAATTTAATTTAACGGAGAACCAGTACAAGGTCGATCAAATGTTGAATCCCATTTTCCTCATGCATTCCTTGTGCGCCTCGATAAGGTCTTGGCAGTTCTCTTCACCTTTTTCAATAATGCTGGGGACATAAATATTCAGTTAGCATTTTTTACTTCAATTATTATTGCATTATTATGTAACTTAAAATAAGTTGAAACTTACCACTGGTCTCTCGGCTTCTTGGTTTCCGGGCAAGCACAGCACGGTTTCAGCTTTTTGGGCTGCTCCGTGGGTTGTTCGGTCGTCGTTTGAGCGTCCTGAGTCTTCACCATTGTCAGAGGAAAGAAGTTTGAGAAAAACATCGGGAATTCTGTCCTAGTGTTGTCGTTGTCACAGGAGGCTGCGAGTTTCGAAGCGGCGATTGCTTTCAGCACAAAAATGTGTTTCCAGAAACAGCTGGCGGCTGTCAGGCTTTATAGGAGTTCAGAGCGGCACCCCCAGAGCCATCTATGCCATTTTAGCAATGCGCCTGTTCTGTGCAAAACGGAAAGGGGAGCACAGGGGGTAATCAAATTTTGCGCTTACCCGCTCAAAAAATCGTGGATTATTAAGTTAACTGTTTAAAAAGAACTGGCATATTGCTGGCTTTCTGATTCGAAAAAACCTTGGTCTCAAACTGATCTGACCTCTAAAAAGTTCATTACTACTTCCGACTTGCAATGCCATATTTTACCAATTAAGAAATATTATTTTATGAATTTTATGATTAGATTTTTTAAATGATTTTATAAAGAAAAGTGACAGAATTTGATCAACAACTTCATTATTTATTAGTGTCTTGAACACAAGAAGTGGAGGCTAAAATTGTACAGTGGATAAAGCACAAAAATACTTAAACAAGAGTTTTCGCAGAAAATGGGATCGTTATGCAACTCGTCCAGCAAAATCACAAATTATAATAGTCAAAGGTCGTGACCAGACTGAACAGAATATACATAAATTAAAACGCACAAAATAAATAAATCCTGTAAGTCCAGCTTTACAAGAGAGGTATTGTATAAGAAATTACACATCAGGGGCGCATTCAGCCATGCATAAGAAATCAAATCACCTTAACGCTTTGTAACTTATTATTATTAACAACTCTTGATCCATCAATAAATTTTAACAGCTCCACTCTGTATAACCAATAACATAATGAACTACGTTTTTGGAATCGCCATTTTTTTGGTTAAAACATTTATTATTTTATTTTCGAAAGTCTGCTGTTGAGAACTAATAACTTTGGCGCTCTACTTGGTGGAGGCGACAAGGTAGGCGATCAAGTCTCCCCTCTCCTGGGGCTTCTTGAGACCAGCAAACACCATCTTGGTGCCAGGGATGTACTTTTTAGGGTTCTCCAAGTACTCAAAGAGGGTGTCGGGGTTCCATGTGATACCTGCAAGGTGGTACAATTGTATTTCATTAAAAAAATTAATTAAAAAAAGTTTATAAAGATATTTAAAAAAAGGATTGTGCAATTGGATTTCCATATGACATGAACCTTTTAAAAAAAATAAGTATATAATTATGACCACATAAAAAATTACAAAATAGTATGATAATGGGCTTTTCGCAATGCAAACTTCTAATGAGTGTTGCAAAATATACTCATACAGTTTAAATGTACATTAATAAAAAATTATATTAATGCTTAAAAGATTGTACCAATTATTGTACATTGCAGTTATCATAATTAGGGTGAACATGATTTTTATTCAGTGCTCCTTATTGAATTTTGCAATCAGTTATTGATAAGAGAAGCATCATATAAGTCTGGCGCTTAATTTTTCACACGTGTTGGTAATCAGGAGGCATAAATGTTATCAAAGAAGAGGGAATAAGAAAATGAATAAAGTGCAATTTAAATTAAGCCAAGGAATTCAAAGCTGTTGCAATGGGCGTTGCGCAAAACAAGTCGTTGATGACGTAACGATGCACTGCTGGTTGTAAAGTGCACAATAGGAAACTCGTTATTGAGAAGAGAATTAGGCCAAGAGCGATAAGCGTTTATAAGGAATCCCTGTAAAATTACCCTTGGCTTTGTTGGCGTCCGTGTAGGAAAATCCAGCAGCCTGTCCGGTTTTTCTGCCGATCAGACCGTGCAGGTTGGGTCCAGTCTTGTGCTTGCCACCAGCCTCAACGGTGTGGCATTGTGCGCACCTTTGGACGAAAATCTAGGAAAATCGATGCAAATTATTTTAACAATATATTAACATAATTATCAAATTTCAATTAATCACCTTCTTTCCCTTCTCAACATCTCCGGCTGGGACACCCATGGTTGACTGATGCGAGCTGAAAACAGTCTGAAGTCAGAGTCTGGCTAAGGACAGGCCAAGTGCCAATAGCTAGTCTAAATATGGAGGGGCTGGCGCGTGCACCATCCCGCCATGACCCAGATATCATTTTAATCGGTGGCCGATTCTGAGCCCAACTCCCCCACATGTTCGGCGTAATGTCAGACAATCAATTGCAAAGAGGGTGCATCAACCCCAATTTTAATTTACATCTGTATGTCATCCGGATGACGTAATAATGTACGGGGCAAGGGCATGCATTCGACCCAAAGAATTACAGACTTGTTCTTTTCACCCCCGTGGTTGAATTTTTTTTAAACATTTGGGTCAAAAACGTAGAGAAAAATCTGGGGCTAGCAATGAGTTGGACTTTGAACACGTACTCGTGTGAAAATATCCCGGAAAATGATGCAAAAAGGGCAAGAATTTTCAATACCTGCAAGAAGACCTTCGGCCGACTCGTAAGGAACGATTTGTCAAAGAATTTTATTTGAAAACTAAGCAAGAATGATGGAAAATCTGCGCAAAACACAAGAATGAATGTAAAACCGTCTACTGCGCACAAAGAATATTAAGTTATATTGGTTCTGAAAGACACCACGCCATGACCAAACTGACCTCTAGCGGCAGAGGGGCGCGATTACATTTAAACATGGCGTAAGTCATATGAGTGCAATTGACGTCTGTGCCTGTTAAAAAATGGAAATAATGAGGCGTAGCAAGTCGTGAGGAGCTTGATTTGCCTAGGAAACAACCCGGGACAATACTTTGTTCTCCAATTCCGCTGCTCTCGCCGATAAAGTGAGTATTCAACGATTTTGGAAGGGTTGTCTTCCCGTCATCGATTAGTTCAATGGTTTTGCACTGTGTTGTATTGTGGGTACGGCTGGCTGCATACATACAAGGCGCCCTCGGGTCTGACTCATACTCCAGATGAGCTGCACACTTTTGTTCAATACTCTTCATGACAACTCCGGGCATTCAAATTGATATTGTTCATTTTCAACATAATAATACACAATGATACCATTTTTAATGAAATTGAGAGGAATCCATTAAAAATACGAAAATACAAAAACGATTTAGCTTCCATAATTATTTTATTGAATTTTTTTTTTTTTTTTTTAAATAAAATTACATTTAGGTTTCAGGTAAATTTTAGCGTACCATTAAATTAAATCACTTTTTTTAATTTAAAAAAAAAAGTTTTCCAGATTTTAAAATAACTTTTCCATAGAAACTTGATACTTCAATATATTGTGGAAGCTTGACAAATGTCGGTGAATTTCTACTGCTTCCTCTGGTGGCTCTACTAAAAATTATCTAGAGAATTTTACCATTGACTCTTGGATTAAAATCATGGGATTTACGTTGCATTAAAAATTTCAATACGGCTAAAACAATTAAAAATATTAATGAACAAATTAAAATTTAAAAAATATTTCTTTAAAAATACAAATAATAAATTTTTTGTTGATTGTGTCAAGAAAAATTTGAGTACCCCGAGTGGGTCAACTGTGGCAAGCGCTGCTGGTCAATTAGCGGTGGCTCCGGCAAGATGAGAGGCGCGGGTGACGTCAGGGGGCGGAGGCTGCAGCCGATCGATTCGGTCTGAGGGGTGACCTCTGTACCCGGCCGTGAGTCACTCAGTGCGCGCCATCCAGTCGCAGCCCCACACCAACCGACCCTTCAATTATTCACTTTGCGTTGCCCCAACCCGCTGCTTACCAAGAAGCCCCGACCCGTAGAGGTCTCACTTCCTACACCAACACCTATCATCTTTCCACTTTGCTGATTGCAAATTATTCACTGACACGGCCCACTTCACATTTTGTCAAGTTTCGTTATGTGTAAAAAATGTACAAAAAATTTAATTAGAGTGTTATTTTCTAGAATGTGAACATTTAATTTCATCTCCACCATTGAAATCGTCTAGACAACAAAGATTTCTAAATTATTTTGTATAATATATATCATCTAACATTCATTTTATTTTTAAATAAAATGTATCGCAAAGTTATCTGTTTTGGTTACATATTTCTTGATGATATCAATTTTTTGTTGCTGTATTTTATTTTAAAGTTGGTTTGGCTCTATTTTCTATTTATATAAATAAAGTAATTACTGAAAAATAAATTAATTTTTAAATGTAAATTTTTTATATTTTTTAGTGATTAAGAAGGAAATATTTAAAAAAAATCTAAAATTAAACTATTCAGTTTTTATCAACTTTGAATACTATATATGTGCAAATATTTTTTATCCAATCATCAATTTATTATTTTTTAAAAGAACGTATGAGTACATCAGTAAAGGCTGACCGGGTGACTAAAAATCGGATTTGGGCTCTAAAAATTTCATTCCGAATGATTCTCCAGACGATGTCAGCCGGATATCATTGCTAGACGACTGGCAAACATATTGAAGCGTATAATAAAAATTACAATAACCAGTCGCAGTTATATTCACGTTGGCAAACAGGAACCGAGAAATCGTTATTCCGCCGTGTTTATTCAATAAACAAGAACCAAAAGAAATGAGGTGCTGCAAAAAAGCACTCTCACAAGATGCGTTCACTCAGCCGTAACTCTCTTCATCCATTACTTTTTTCGGTTTGTTTTCGTTTCGCAACTCGCAATAATTTATCTCAATTCCGATAACTAATTGTGATTTATTCGCGATCACGCCCGAGATAGGCTTAGAAAAGAAATGGTTACGCGGGGGCGGCAGTTGCGGGGCGGCTGCTTTTATTCCACCCCCGTTGAGTGCGTCATGCCCAAGTGGGTCAATCTCGGACTGCTTGCAGAGCTAAAGCACCCAGCCGACGCTGATTCGGGCAAAGTGTGCGTCAGTTGGCCGCTCTCTTTGTTCGCGGGCCGATGTGCAAAAAGTGTCTTCGGTCGCTGCGAATAATAGTTTTTTGCCATTCTGTTCTGCGCATATAAAACGATTGTTCGCTTGAGCGGCGCAATTGAGTGTGAAAATGGTTCAGAAAGTTGGTACGAAAGAATTTTTTACGCAATGCATCGGAATTGAAAGCTTTTATTGAGGCTTTTTTCTTAAAAATCTGCGACACCATTGTGTCAACCGCGACTGAGATAAAAAGAGGAAAGATAACAGGAAATACTATTATTTAAAATTTTTTATCTGAAAATGAGGACCACAATAGCTTATTGTTAAAATAAATTTCATAGTTTATTTTTTTTTCAGAATTATATATTTGATACACTTTAAATTAGGTTCAAATTCATAAGATTGACTATTTGCAATTATTTCGCTCATCATTTTTCAGCTTGACTTATTCAAATAATGTTACACCTGTTAAAAAACAAACATTTATTTTCCCTGCACAATCAATCATATTGATGTGTAGAAAGTCACGTGGCATGGTTTTGCTTTTCCCATTCGTTCACCGTGACAATCTGTGATTTTGGCTCGGAAATGGCCTGCGATTGGCATTCTTTCTTCGTCACGAAAGAAGAATCTCGTCGGCAAAGTTGCGATTCCCAAGCGGCTTTTTGACGTCACGCCCTCGTAAATCAATCAACGTTGCTCCTTCCTTTTTACAGCAGCAAAGATCCCTTGATTTTGGCCCTGGTGCGTCACTTTACGCCTCCGGGAGAGAGTTCGACCACCTTGACCAGCAAACTCGTGTTGGGATGAAATTTCATGAATAAGTAACATAGGATCCTTCAATTCATGAATTTGTTAAGGATGGACACGGAATCAATGCTGGGTAAATTAGATTCTTATTTTGTCTTAAAATTCATTCTCAAACTAAATTTAGTTTTGAAATCCAAGAAGGGTTGGAAGGTTGGCTTTTGATAGAAAAACTAATTAATGTATTTTGCTTTAAATTACAACAAAATTCTTAATGAATTTTTCAAACTATTTACCAACATATAATATAAACTTTTAATGTAGAGCGCATAAAAAAAAATGTGCAAAATTTATTAATTCCATTTCAAGCGTCCTTCATTATAAAAAGTTTGTCGAGTTTGACAATGAAACACTCAGGGGACTCAATTAATTTTTTTTTTACCTGTCTAATTTTTAACTTTAACGCAAATAAAGTTTATCACCCTGACAACTTTTCTCTAGCTAGCCAAGTCCCACCGGAGTGAACCTGCGTGCAATGCGCGCGTCCCAAAAGGCAACGAGAACAAACTGCCGCAATAACTCAGCATTATTTTGCTCAAGATAAACAAAACGGCGCTGCTTCTTCTTGCAGGCTTTTCAGGTGTTCGCAATTCAGCGAGCGTGCCGCAGTCATTGCCTCGGCTCTTTCACAATATGCGACATAGAGTGGGTGCTAATCAACCACCCCACCCACTCTATATTTACGCGAGGGGAAAGACGCAAATTCTGATTCGAAAACAAATTGCTTCTGAGTGAGATTTCTTATGACCAGCAAAATCTTACCGTTTCTTTTGTCAAATCGGCACACGCTTGGAATACATTTAATCACTAATATTCTTTAACGATTAGTAAGTTTTACATCTCTAGAAAATTTAAAAAAAAAATTATGGAAGTAAGGCATTATTTGATTAGAAATTCATGGTTTTATATAAATCTATTGATAAACAATTAAAATTTTGATTAAATTTTCATCACTCTGCTAAAAAAATATTGGAGACCTTTTTTCACTTTTGCGCTTTTGTGGTATTAAATCCTTCTGGGGATTTTATTATTACAAATTCATGAGTAATATAAAATTAAAGCCTTTTTACAATGTTTAAAAAAAAAAAATTACTATTTTTCCAGACCTATTTGCACCTTAATGGTGGATTTTATGATGGCCTACTATGATTGCCGTGGGAGTAATAATTATAATAATTTTTTCTGGTATCAGATCTTAATATATTAAAAACTTTCATAACCTTTGAATTATTTAACCAATTTCATCATTATTTTTTTTTTACATGCGCACTCGTCTTTTCTTTATAGAGAAGACTACCTGAAGTAAGCCACTCACCTCCAGTCAATACTGTGATCCCGTGTGTGAAGGAAGAATTTATTTATCTTTGGCATGAGACGGTGCTTGTCATTTTTCATTGTCTGCCACTCCACGTTCTTTCTCCCTTCTCTCTTGAGGAGAGATATTTCGCTCATCTTCCTCCTTCTCTCAGAGATAATGACATTTTTCCTACTGAACAAACTTCTTTCTGCACAGGCCAGCCTTAGTGAAAGGCAATTTGGCGTGCAACTTATATTTTCTATTTTGGCCTTGTGTTTTTTTTCCACCGAAACAAAAAAAAGGCTCCTTCTTTGATGGAAAAATTTTCCTGACGTTGTCCGTGGCTGAGATAATTGAAAAAAGGTTTTAAGTTCCTTTCATCTTCTTTCTGAAAAAAAATCGATTTATCTGTAAAAATTATTCATCTTTTAAGGGAGTAAAATTTTCTGTCTTGAGATGAATTAAAAAAATCACTTATTTATTGAATTTTGTTCCTGTTGAAAAAATATATTAATTTACTAACTTCAAATTAAAAAATTCTACGACGCTGAAAATAGGATTACTCTAAATGATTTTCAGTTTTCAGCCGAAATTATTCTGTTTTGACGCGAGCGCAGGTATCAACGAAATCCGCAAGTACGTCATCTATCTTGATAGCGCGGTCGTCTCTTTGCATCTATTAACGAGATATAAAGAAATATTTGGACTTTAATTCGCACATTATTTGATCACGTAGTATTGATAATACCTGCTTATCTCAAAAACAAAAACCCTTCAGATTTTGAATCACACGCGATGGAGCTGTTTCAATTTAATTTATATTGTGCTCAAGGATGACGGCGGGTTCGTCTGCAGACACAGCTGTGAAAAGCGTAATTCATAAATTTAGTTTAAATTAACTTCGGCCAAAATTTTGAACTGTTTCAGGAATTGAGATATCCAAAATGCGTGTTTCTCATTGCATTTTATGAATTTTTTGAGCGTTTGTGCCGAAACGGCATCCGATGTGAGTTTTTAAATTTGAATTCGTGAAGTCGCTTTTTGCCAATTATATAATCATTTTAGCCGTCTTGTCTATTTATTTGGTTTACTCACTGGACTTCAGCGAAAACGCTGCGACCACTGTGTACCATGCCTTCCTCGCCGTCTGCTTTTTCACTCCTATTATCGGCGGAATCGTTGCCGACAGCTGGCTTGGCCGATTCAAGTTCTTATTCAAGGAAAATTAAATTATTTTTAATAATCAATTTTTTCTAGAACAATCTTTGCTACCTCCTTCATTTACGTTACGGGCAGTTTGCTTGTGTTAATGTCGTCGTTTCCGTATTTTGCCAGTGCTGCAAAGTATAAACAATATAAAAAAATTATTAATATATATTAATCATTTGAAAAAATTTCACTGCAGCGTTCTCACTTTCATTGGAATAACCTTGGTTGGTTTCGGATCTGGGGTGGTTTCTCCCTGCGTCTCGGCCTTTGGCGGGGACCAATTTGTGCTGCCCGAGCAGGAAAAATATCTGCAAAAGTATTTCTCCGTTTTCTACGTTATCATGAGTTTCTCTGGTCTGTTGGCCACAATCATGTCTCCACTTTTGAGATCCGACATTCAATGCTTTGGCGAGGACACCTGCTACCCCATGTCGTTTGGCCTCGCAGCAATTTTTATGGTGGTCGCCGTTGGTAAAAATACAATGATATATGATTAAAAATTGCTAATTCTTGAGTTAGTTGTTCTTAGTTTGGGTATAAAGTCTTACAAACACAAGGCTCCTGAAGGAAACATTGCCTTGGACGTCACGAAATGTATTTCTGTAAGGAAAAAAAACAATCAATTATTGCAATCAAATAAAATATTAAATAATTAATAATTTTAGCATGGTGTGGCAATGAAAGTTAAAAACTGGCGACGAAAGGAGAAAAGGGACCACTGGCTTGACTTTGCGGACGATAAATTTGATAAAAAACTAATCGCAGACACAAAACTGAGTTTCAACATTCTGACTTTGTTCGTGGCGGCGCCGCCGATTTTCTGGGCCTTGTACGATCAGAAGGTTTCACTTCGATAAAATTTTACGCATCATTTTTAATGAAACGATTGTCAGGGATCTCGCTGGACGTTTCAAGCGACACGAATGGACTGCGCTCTGGGCGAATGGAACGTGAAACCTGACCAAATGCAACTTTGGGGTCCGCTGCTCCTCGTCGTTCTTATTCCCATTTTCAATACCGTCGTTTATCCGCTCTTCAAAAAAATGAAAATTCTACAAAAACCGCTGACAAAAATGACCGTTGGAGGGATCCTGGGCGGAGTTGCGTTCGTTTTTTCGGCCGTGGTCGAGCTCACCATCAAGCCGACCGACGCCGTGATGCCCTCGCAAGGAGAGGCGCAGCTAAGGCTGTTCAACACCCTGGACTGTCCAATCGTCATTTCCTCTGAACCAGGTACGGCTGTTGAAATCGACCCGTTTGAAATCAGTCCTCTGGAGGCGTGGCAAAATTTGCACATCGCTGCCCAAAGCAACCAAACTTTTCAGATCAGAGCCCAGCCTGCAAGTTCATGCAATCCTGCATTGCTTGTGCAGGATTTTAACGTTCACATTTCTCCGAATACGGTGATTTTGCAACAAATAAGTCTAATATGTCAAGTTTGTTTTAAAATTAATCATACAGGCACAAAGTTATGCTTTCCACGACGGATTGGTATCGGCGCCTCAATTACAATTTTCGGAAAAATTCTTTGAAAGTCCAGAAAAGTCACAAATCGGAAATGGGAGAGTTAGGTAAAAATTTAGCCTTATTTGCGGATGATTAAATGTACCATTAAATCATTATTTATTTCTTTGCAAAAGGGTTCTGATGAATGCTGACTCAACGGGAGAAATATCTGTGAACTTTATTGGCCGATACAAATATACTTTCATACTGAATGGCGCAATTGCAGTTTCTGAAATCAGTGAACTGGTCGCAGACGAGTAAAAATTATTTCCAGATTTATTTCCTGTAAATTTTAATTTTTTTAAAGGTACATAATTGAACTGAATGGGGCCACTATAAGCACGACAAAAATTAAAACCGGCGGCGTTTACACTTTCATTGTCAACCAAGCAGTCTCCAGCAGTAAGAGCAGAGAAAATCTCGCGATTTTCTGCCATTTCATTATAATTTGCCACATTTTCTAGCTGAGGTGGCCAAATATGAAATCACACCAGAGAATGCGGTCAATGTGTTCTGGCTTGTGCCGCAATATTTTGCCATCACCTCGGGAGAGATTTTATTTTCCATTACTGGACTTGAATTCGCATTTACTCAGGTGAAAATGTTTTAAGGAAATTCAATAATTTTGAATTAATTTGCGTTAGGCGCCCGAGAGCATGAAGACGGTGATCGTGGCTGGGTGGCTAATTGCTGTGGCGTTTGGCAATATTATAGTCATAATTGTGGCCGGTGCCCAACTATTTGAAAATTTGGTAATTTGATTAATCAAGTTAAAAAAAAGATTCAATACTTATAAAAACAACTGATTTTTCAGATATGGGAATACGTCTTTTATGCGGGGCTTATGTTCGTGAGCATATTTATTTTTGCTCTGCAGGCGATGTACTACAAAAACGTGTCTTTAGATGAACAAGGAACGGAGGATAAAAGCGACCTCGAAATTAAGGAAAAAGAGTGAAGCGTGTAAATTTGTTATGATTAAAGAATTGGCTGTATTAAATTTCAACATGACAGTAAAAAAATTGATTGGAAAAAAAATAAAAAGCCTTAATCTTTATAAATGCGTATTGCGTAGCTGAATTTTTTGCTATAGCTTCTGAAAAAAAAAAAATCCTCACATTTACCCTAAAAATAACAATTTTTTTTATGTCTTCATATCAGATTTTTATGTTGTAAAAAAGCATGCATGAAAAAATTTACTTCATATTTGCGTCTGGTAAGAATTAATCGATAAACCCTTTTCTGTACATTTAGCGTGGTATTTCTAAATTAAAATTTTTGGCTCGCAAAACACGTTCAATTCAACGTGGTTCCGCAATTACACGACTCGAGTTTACAAAGCAGAAAACAAAACGGGTGGAAAGAAAAGGGCGTTGTAGATTTTCCAGCCGATTTCACTTTCTGAGGCCGCGAGCCACAAACGCGGAGACGCAGTCTGGAGAGCGCTTCTTTTCATTTTCGCACTCATCTGGGACTTGTTTCTGTTAGCGAAGGGCCGGGGCGGCGCGGAAAAGCAAAAGAGTAAAAAAGAAGCCCAACCTCGGGGCGAATGTGTTTGTGGAGAGCGCGAGCAGCGGCGGCAGAAGGGCGTGCATATTGATTTTTGCGGGCCAGAGGGTATCAATGCCGCAGCCTCCCTGCTAGCACACATCCCCTTGCTCGACTCATGCGCCCGCCCGTCCGCCGAGCCCATTGGCCGACGCGCACGCCAACGTCAGCCTTGCTCAATTTTGTATCGATTTTCGCGATGATTTTCTTTCTCGGATTCCAACGAATGGAAACAAATTCGTCCCACTTTCCACGTCACATTCGCTCCCGCGTTCTGTCGCGAATCGCTTCATAACTGTATTGATGAGCCAAATTGTAAAATAGGTCACGAAGTTGCTGTGCTATTTTTATTTTGTTTTTAATTGCAGTTTATCTTATTTTTCAATGGAAAATTTCTGGTGCGACAAATCGGGCCGTTTTAAATCAGAAATAGACGCGTGGGAGTCTTGCCGAGTGGTTGCATAACCAACGAGTCGCTATCTGGAAAGCTCACCCAGGAGCTTTGTAACTTTATTGCTTCTCCACTTTATGTGATATGATTCAGGAGATGGATGAAGGTAGATTTTGCCAAGACAGTCAGCAGTAAAAAATCTGGATTCCAGCTGTCTAGCGTCAAGAGGGACTACTGTTTTGCAAAATTAAAGCCCCTACTGTTTATTTTTTTTTTGTATCCTTTTTTAGCATCATAAAAATGGGGATGAGAAAAGTTTTGAGGATTTCCATTCTTGAAAGATTTTGTTATATTTTCTTGATAAAATAATTGCAGTACCTTCTGAACTAAAATAATTTTTCAAAGAAACGTTGCATTTTTCATAAATCCTTTTGTTAAAGTTTATTGCTAATACAATATTATTATTTATTTATTTATTTATTCTCCAATCATGGTACATACAACGCAAAAAAAGTACACTGTACAAAAAAAGCGGAATCATGCATCGACATACAAAAGTACAAGCATATAGACAAAATAAAGAAACAAATAATATCAGCAAAATGTTATTATTTCATTTGCAGTTTTACATTTATTTTATTTAAAAGTACCAATCTGTACAAAAACCGAAAGCATATCATGTCTCGCTGCGGAGGATTGGATCTTTTTGATCTCGGAAGTTTGAGCAAAATTATTGCTAATGATGGTGCCGTTGTTCAACAGTTTTTGTTTTGGTCCAATAATTTATTTTCAACAATTGAATTTAATCAATGTGATGTAAAAATTTGGATAGATTAACAACAATAACAAATAAAAAATGAACCACCACTGGAATAGGAAAACTAATAATTATAAGGGGGATGTTTAAAAATTTAAAATATCCATATAAGCCTTTTTTAAATTCGATAAGGCTAACACGTTAAGTTAAATAGTTTGAACTTATACATTTTTCACTAAATTTGTTATTAATACACACCCCCTTTTAATTCCAGAGTGGAAAGATTAAAAAAAAAAAAAAATGAAAACCTAGGCTGCAAATCAAGGGCAGAATTTTTCTTGTTTAATATAAATCTCATTTAATATGTTTTAGTAAACATTTTGCTATCGAATTTTAGTTTAAAAATACCATTTACATCACTCTATTTCAGTACGATTTGAAAAATTTTTCCAGAATTTTTCCAACCCCTTTGTGCTATATCTTTTGTAACGACCTATATCCTAGAATCCTCCTATTCGGAAACACGTCTGTATAATATATTACAAGTTATACAGCCAGTATAAATTTCAATTTTGGGTCGGCAGCTCAATTTCCCCGCAACCAAATCCCAGCCATGCATTTTTAGTCATTTGTTTTGGAGAAATATTGCGTGGGTTCTCGGGTGTCGAGTTGAGCAGCAGCTCGCGATGACCTTTCCCTGCGCCGTCGGACGGTGCGCCGGCGCTCCACTGACGTCACCCACTTTCCTCTCCAGCCAGAATTTTCCACCATCTTGGGTGTCAGTCAGTGCAGCAGGGCCCCCCGAGCGACGGCCTCGTCGAAATGTGCGCCCCAGTGAGAGCCCTGGGCCCTGTCAGGGGATTCGCTCGACCTGCCAGGCTCTAGTGCCCCAGTTCGAAACAAAAACACTTACTTTGGCACTCGACTGTAGCGACAGTCACTGTGCACTTGACTTTCGTGTCCAGTCCACCTGTTAAAAGAAGCACCGACCTGTGATTGCAGAACCCAACAAAGATGTCGTCGGTGAAGGTGGCGGTCAGGGTGCGTCCCTTCAACAACAGGGAGACCTCGAGGGAATGCACCTGCATCATCGAGATGGCTGGAAACACCACAAGTAAGTACAGCTTCTTTTATTTTTCTTTAGGAAATTAAATGAACAAGCAGAATTTAATAGCAGCCCTTCCTTGGTAGTTAAATTTTACCGCACGTCTTGTTCATTTAATTTTCAATTGAATTTTCCAGTAAAAGATTATAATTTTGAGCACCAACAAAATATCAAGAAGTTATGTAATTGAAATTTTAAAGAGCAGAATTTAAGGGAAGAAATTTTTTGAAATGCATAGAGATCAAATCAATTGCGATTCTCAGAAATTAAATAATCATTGCTTAAGATTTTGGTAACTGCTAAAATTTAAAAATATATTTCACAAATATTGCATTTGTTTCTTAATGAGTTCTTGTCATTTTTCATTAAACTGATGAAGGCATTATGAAGAATTCAATTTGCCCCTTCCTTTACTTTAAATAGACGTTTTATCTATATGGACAATTTAAACATTTATAATTTTTAATTATAAAAAACAAAACAAAATGCAAGGAATTTTCACGTGGAAAATTTTATTTTGAATTTTCTATACCCCATTTAACTCATTTTCTGGCCTATATGTTTTCATACTTTACGCTCCACCGTTGCGGAGCAAAATTTTCTAGCGGCCGCAATCGATCTCCACTGTCGCCCTTTTCAAATGAATTGTTCTCCGTGTCTGCAACTCCAGTGTGCGTGGGCTGCGAATTGACGTCCGCTCCATTTACCATTCCGTAGCAACGTCATTTCGGTCTCGCAGGCAATCACCCCTCTTTCTCGTTCCGGCAATCGCTTAATTCGCAATTAACCAACACTCGATAATGAACTGACTGTGCAAACCCCATTCCGGCCATGTTGCCAAACATCTGGCGCCATTCAGCGCAATACGGGCATGAAATCTCGTGCCAATTGCCAAGCTTTGTGCATACAAACTGAAGCACTGCACAAACGGAACAAGGTCGACACCAGTTTCCTCACAGTGCTTGTGCAGAGAGTAAAGTCCAGTTTGCTTTTTAATTACCTCACGCCCAGAAATGGAATTTCGCGGCTGTTTGGTCCCGAGAGACTGTTTATTTTGCGTGGCTTAAAACTCGTTTAAAACTCTGGACATGATGAAGATTAAGACCTGGTTGGTCTCGAGCAAGCCAAACATAAATTGCGGTTAGTGGTTTGCCTAAGTTTCCGGCCTATGGTGCTCAAGAGGTAAAATACTGCACATTTCTCTACAATAAAAATCCAATTTTGTGGTCAATATAAATTAATTTGAGCCCTGAATTTCTCTCGCCTTGTTAAATCTGAAATCGCATATATTCAAAATCCAATTATCACCACCCGACTCTTGTGTGCGGGGATTTTTCGCGGGTATATTATTTTCTGTTTGTTGTGTAATCTTGGGGCGGCAGAATAATTCCATTAAGCCTGTGATGCAAATACATATTTGTGGGTCTTCGGCTGGCCGTTTGTTTAGGCGCTTGGGTCCAATTAGCGAACGCAACTTGCCACCCGGGGGATGTTTTCATTGAGAGCAATTCATGTCAGGCTGCGTCGGCGGGCATCAAACTTGGAAATGAGAGCTTAATGACGCGAAACTGGACGCTTTTTAGCTTTCAAAGGGTCCAGTTTTAATTGCTGTGGTGGGCGAGAGCACTCAAAAGTCTCTGAGTGTAACTTTTGAGAGGTTCAAAGTGTTGGAAAATCGCCAGGGAAAACAAGAGAAAATTGTTATATTATTTCTAACTACTTCACCCTGCCATTGGCTGAAACTTGAAAGTTCTGCTATCTTTTTTCTAATCAAACAACCTTTATTATCTACAACCAATTAAATTTTGTTTGTAAGGCAAAAATAAATACCTTTCATCGTTTTACTTAAATATTAAAATATGATATATATTCAGGTTAATTCTTGATACTTCAAAACCTACTGCGCATTCCTTCCACCTTTCTGCGCTCTAAATCGCTCTAAACATAAAATCGTATATCACGGGTGAAAAGTGGACACCAATTTGGCACCCCTTGACGGAAACGGCTCTTAATAAGCTGCCATGTTGCAGTGGCACCGTCATTAATTTGTAGCCTGAGCCGGGAGTTATTTATTAAGTTTGCGGGCCTTCACCGTGCGAAATTAACGAGCCGTCGTTTCGGATCAAAAGCATTTCCTCGCTTGGAAGAAATTATGGTGCCAGATTGGTTGGTGTTGACCGGTAATCAGAAGGGTGAGATGAATGATTTGTTTGTCGAACCAAGGGAGAGAGTTTGCGTCGACGAGCGGGGAAAACTCGCCTTCCACTTCTTCAATCGATAAGCCTGCATCGTTTCTTGTATGTACGAACATACACACAGCACAGGTACGCAAGAAACTCTCTGTGCGCCCCGTATCTTTACTTCCATCTGCCAACGGCGACCGTCCTGAGCAAACATACGCATAGCGCTAAATAAAGTGCCGTTTTTATATACGTGTATTCCGTAGGGGTTTGTCATGTCTCTACATGATGTTTAAGAAAATTGCCACGTTTTTATCTCTCAGCCTCTTCTGCCAATTGAAACATATTTTTGTCTTGTTTGATCAAAGATGCAAACTGCCTCTTTTGTAGTCTGCGAGAGCCCATTAACGTGCGATAAACGATTGTGACGGCGCTAGTCGATTCTTGTCGCAATCTCGATCGGCTTGGGGATTTCCCGTGGGCTGACGTTGATTTATGAGGACGGGAGGGCAGCCACCCGCCCGCCTGTACAATGCCGTCGAGAGAACGGTTATCAAGTGTCACTATGCGAAAGTAACCAGATTGTGCAAATTATTCATTGATGTAACAGGAGAATGGTTTTGGCACAGTTTATACAAAATTGAGGTTGAGAAAAGACAAACATTTCAAAACCATAATAAAGTACACGGCGAAAACTTTGCATGTAGTTTTCAATTTGATGTTTGAATTTAATATATTTCGAGCATATTATTAAACTTTTGTTGAAAATAAATTAAGTCTGTATTCTGTATATAAAATCCTTCACTATGTTAAGACCAATAATTGATCAGGTTAATATTTAACAAGAGAAAGTTTGAAACGAATTGATGAATGTATTATTTGCAAATTTTCTCACGTCTGTATCTTCTGTCATCCATGAATTTTTGAGCTTAAACTATTTATGGATATTTCCGAATTTCTTTATCAGACACAAAATTCATTTCATTCCTGATGAGTATTTAATGCATACGAGAATTGCTGTTTTTCGTCTGCTCTCTTCTCACTTTGAATCTAGGAATATGTTAAACCTTTAATTCTTTTGAGAGTTATTTATCTTGCCAGCCTTTATTGTATTCTATTTTGTTTTTTATAATTCAGGTAAACCAGTTTTATTTCCAAATGCAAATAAGCATAAATTTACTTTTCCAGTTACAATTTGGACAGATAAAAAATTTAATTAAATTTAAATAATTATATTTATTATTATTGTTTATTTGTCCACATTATTACATCACATTGTTTTCATTCAATTTTTGAAAACAATTTATTTAAAAGAAGGGAATTGTTGGACACCACCACTAGTAAGAATTTTGCTAAAACTTCCAAGATCAAAAAACCCCATCCGCCGCAGTGAGCCAAATAAAAATACTGCTCAATTTGCAATTTTTAAAATTTCAAATGAATCGCGCAATGCCGTTTTATATTTATATGCTTTCTAATCTACTTCTAATAAAAATAGTTGGGGACTTACTGGCGCGTTTCCGATTGTCCAGCCGATTGCCTTTATTTAATCAAACCGATTTCTATTTCTAACACACCGCTTTCCATGTGGAAAGCCTTAATTTAAAGCATTTCCGTAGCTTCCCTGAGCCTTGGACAATCAGTAATAGGATTTGCGTAAGAGCCTTTGAGCTGCGAACTCGGAACCAAACAAGCTGGAACCGGTTGTGCATTTTCAAGGGCGACTGACTGACTACTATGCCGGGCTGGCGCACGCACCATGCAGCTCGCAACACCCCGATGACCCACTTTCACAGCCCCTCGCTAAACGCACCCCTATATTTGACTCCCACGGATTGGGCAAACTTTACGAGCATCCATTTGCGGAGAATGAGACGCAAAGAGCATAATCTCAAAACTGCAAGGCCAGAGAGTGTCACCGCAGCTAGGTGTGACCCATTTTGTGCAGAATTGCTGCTGTGCAAGTTTCGCCCCACTTGTCTCGCTTGGCCGCAAAGAGCGAGAGAAGAATTCCTCTACACAGAGAAGCGCTTAATTTAAATTTAATGAGCGAAAAGCACAATCAGCACTTTGCTCCTTTGAGCTTTGAGCACGTTCTCACGTGTGCGGAAATAATTTTTGCGCCCAAGGGATGCAGGGGGTTGTAATTTTTGTTACTTGTTAATGGAAATGAGGTGGGATGGGAATGCGTGAACGTAGTAGCAATTAAAATGTGGTGGTAAAACTTAAAACTCTATTCTGCCTCTCATTTCTCATTTCATCGTGATTATTCTTAAGATATAAGGAAAAACCTAATTGTCGAAAATTTCAATCTTTTATTTCACTCGCAGATTAATAGTCTAGCTATTATCATTTGTCATTTAATACAATTTCTTGATATAAGTGCTCAAAATTATCAATAGTTGTTATACTGATAAATTTTATTTTAAATTTTTGAAAATAAATTAAAAATCAAATATATATTTTTAATGGATTTTTCAGCTATTTGCAACCCAAAGCTGCCCCCAGGAAGCAAGGAGGCAATCAAGAGTTTCAACTTTGACTATTCCTACTGGTCTCACGATGTAAGTCAGGTTTTTTTGTAATATTATATATTTTTCTAACTATTTTATTGTTTTTTGATCAAAAATACAACTTATTAGTTACTGAGGTTCAGCTAAAACTAATTAATTTTATATTTTTTTTTTAATTTTCCAGGAAAGTGACCCAGAATTTAGTGGGCAGGACTTGGTCTATAGTGATATTGGCGAGGAAATGTTACAGCACGCGTTTGAAGGTAGGGTAGTTCGAGTTAAATTTTTTTATGGATTCCTTATACACTCTGAATAACAGCAGTGCTTTTAGGGCCCCATAATATCACGAATATAAAACTAGAAAAATTATATATTATACGAAAGTGCTTTTATCAATATAATGTAGATTTTTACAGCTACCCCATAAGTTTTTGGGTGGTAAAACTGTGACTATTTTCTCCAGGGTACAACGTGTGCATCTTTGCCTACGGACAGACCGGTGCTGGAAAGTCATACACGATGATGGGCAAACAGGAGGAGGGCCAGGAGGGGATCATCCCCAAAATTTGCCTGGACCTCTTCAGCCGTATAAAATCAAACTGCTCGGAGGAAATCAAGTACTCGGTCGAGGTCAGCTACATGGAGATCTACTGCGAGCGGGTGCGCGATTTGCTCAACCCCAAGAACAAGGGTAACCTCAGGGTGCGTGAACATCCTCTGCTGGGACCGTATGTCGAGGACCTGAGCAAGTTGGCGGTCACAAATTATCAAGACATTCACGACCTCATTGACGAGGGAAACAAGGCTAGGTAGAATAAATAATATTTCAATTGGATTATTTCAGTTAAAAATTTTAGGCAAATATATTCACTGTATTTTTTGCTTTCTTGGTTGTATTTCTAAATTTCTTAGTTTGCCAGATTTGAAAAAACCCTCTTGTATTAGTTCTACTTTTTCCTCACCTTGCTCTATAATTTTGAGCTTATCTAATATTTATATTTATGCTCTTAGGGAAATTCTATGCCCACGACACATTGAAAACAACCCCTGTCATCTCTGATTTCAGAACTGTCGCCGCCACAAACATGAATGAAACTTCAAGCAGGTCTCACGCAGTGTTCACTATATTTTTTACTCAGCAGCGATATGATGCTGACACATCACTCACCACTGAAAAGGTAAAGAATACTTGCCATCACTCTGACGTTATCCCCGCCCTTGTAACACGTGACTCTGCATTCGTGCTGACGCAGATTAGTGGGAAAATGGCTCATAAATTCAAAGGACTGTGATTCCAGTTAGGAAGTCCGGCCATTTTGCAAAAGCTCCCTAGAATTTAAGTCACGTTCTCCAAACTCTTGCTCGCGTTGGGCCGCACCAGACTTGTTGAAAAGTTGTCTGTTGGTTCCGCCGTAGGAAAATGAGTGGGCCAGTCCGTTTTATTGATTCAAAAGAGAGTGGAGAGAGAGAGAGGCGGCGGAACGCAATAAGCATAGCGCCTGCAGGTTTCAACTAGGCATTTTGCCCGACGTGGCTGCTGCGCTGGTTGCATACCTCCGATCGTATCTGATCTCTGCTCGCGCGCACGTCGGCCTCGGGCATGCTTTTCTAATTTCATTACTATAAAAAGACTGTGTGCTTTTTTCTTCTCAGTCACTTTAATTATCTCCGCGTTCGATTTTCTCATTCCGCTTTCGTGTGCGGACATGCTGGCGCCTGTTCGGAGGAATCGCCGCGGTTTGTGGTTGATGTAAAAGCCGCCATTGAGTCACGCCATTATGACAATCTCGATCAATAGACCCTGGTGTATGTAGCGTAATGTATTCTCTCTTATACAGAAATAATAATAACAATGACCTCCTTAATGCTGCTGAGCAGGTCATTAGAACGAACGCCGTTGCGCATATAAAAATAAAAGAATAATAACCATTCACAAAACCACTCTCTGAAGATGTGAATCAATAAAAATGCAGACGTGTCCAAGTTGAACAAACACAATCATCAAATTTTAACCCCTTTCAAAATAAGGCGACGAGGAAGTTAACCTTGGATTAAATGCTCTTTTAGGTGAGCAAAATTTCACTCGTGGACTTGGCTGGCTCTGAGAGAGCTGACTCGACCGGAGCAAAGGGAACTCGGCTGAAAGAAGGCGCAAATATCAACAAAAGTCTCACCACTCTAGGAAAAGTTATCTCGGCTCTTGCTGAAATGGTAAATTCTTTTAAGCGTTTTGGTGCTGCTAAATTTCTCACTGTTTGGCTTTTTAATTGCTCACTTTGGTGACTTTGGAAAAAACAGGCGGTGAGTAACTTGGAACAGTATTTTCTGTGATGCCCTGTTTTCATTTAAATAGATAATTATTTTAATTTTAAATTTCTTTAATAACCTTCTAGGTATTTAGTTCAGTTTAAATTTTCAATCTGATCATTCTATTTACATATTTTATTCTATGATGCTATTATTATTATTATCATCAAATATTTGCCATTTTTACCTTGTGAGCACCAATTTATTTAAAAATATTCTAAAATAATTTCTGCAGGCCACAAAGAAAAAGAAAAAGGCTGATTTTGTTCCTTACCGTGACTCCGTTTTGACATGGTTGCTCCGTGAAAATCTTGGTGGCAACTCGAAAACTGCCATGATTGCAGCCATTAGTCCTGCTGACATCAACTACGACGAGACCCTATCAACTCTGAGGCATGATTTCAAAATTTTCTTGCTCTCTCTTGAACATGAATAAACATTTTTTTTTCAATTTTTCACAGGTATGCCGATCGAGCCAAACAAATTGTTTGCAAGGCTGTGGTCAACGAGGACGCCAACGCCAAGCTCATCCGAGAACTCAAAGAGGAGATAATGCGGCTGAGAGACCTGCTCAAGGCCGAGGGCATCGAGGTGCAGGAAGGTGAGTTCAATCTCGTGTTAGTTCGTTTGCCACAGAAATCTAGCCTGTCCCTGCGAGCATTTATAATGAGCCCCGATGGTAATAATCATCTTCTACTTAAGCAGGCCCTGATGGCAAAGTGATTTATGAAAAAAGAGAGCCCAATAATAATAACAGTAAGTAGCCTGGAATCAGCCTACCAGATATATCAACCAATCAGACTTTCTCTCAGTCAATTCAGCTTCTTACGTTTTGTTTTCTAATGGGCTGCTCCATCCACACACTTCTATTATACTTGACTGCGCTATGCAGACTGTGATCCATCTACATGTGTGCTTTTGTCCCCATTATTTTTGTTTCGCAGTTTCACTTCATAAAATGCAAGTGTCTCTGTTCAATAAACATGTAAAACGATACAAAAATAATTAAAAATAACAAAGTTAAAATACTCATAGGCAATTTTAATTTTTTACGTAATCTTAGGGTGATGATTGAATCAATCACTATTTGTTGGACTTAAATCAATTTCAAAATCTTATTAAATGAAGTGAAGAAGATTAAATCTTTGAATAATTTTGGCTTAAAAAAATTGGCTGAACTAAAAATATACAAGATTCACCATCCTAAATGTTTTTGCGCTTCAGCATGTAGCATACGACTATTATTTAACTCCATACGATAACCCCTCTACCACCCTCTACCAACAAAGCTGTCGACAATCTTAATCTTGATCGATGATCATTGCAGGAGAGGAAGGCGAGACCAAGGTGATAAAGCATGAGGATGGCGAGCGCAGCAACAAAGTTGCACCTGCGTCCTACATTGCCGAGGAGGCTGTGGATCAACTGCAGGCCAGTGAGAAACTCATTGCAGGTACGTGCTTTTTCCATTCCATGCCATGGATCGAATAAAGCATGTTATTTTGAAATGGGAACAGAGCTTAATGAGAGCTGGGAGGATAAATTGAAGCGAACCGAGTCCATCAGACTGCAGAGAGAAGCTGTTTTTGCTGAGATGGGTGTTGCTGTGAAAGAAGATGGAAAAATGGTGGGGGTATTCTCGCCTAAAAAGGTAACAAGCAAAGTTCTGCAACGAGAGGAAATATTAATAGAAATTTGCAGACGCCTCATCTCGTGAATCTGAACGAAGACCCCTTCATGTCCGAATGCTTGCTGTATTACATCAAAGACGGACTGACTAGGGTCGGTACTGCTGATGCTGATGTGCCACAGGACATCCAGCTGAGCGGCCCTCACATTAAGGGCGAGCACTGTTTGTTCGAAAAGAGGGGAGCCATCATTTCCCTGATGCCAATGCCAGGCGCGTTGTGCTACGTCAATGGAAGGGAAATTAAAGAAGAGGCCACAATTCTCCAGACTGGCTCGAGGGTCATCCTCGGCAAGAACCACGTCTTCAGATTTAACCACCCTGACCAAGGTTGGTTATTTCAACATTGTATATCTTTAAATTTGATTTATTTTAATTCTCAGCTCGTGAGAGACGTGAGAACTGTGAGAAGAGAGAGATCAGCGAGGCTCAGAATCAGAACTCCCCGGTGGAGACCCCCAAAGATGCTGAGAATGTTGACTGGGACTTTGCCCAAGTGGAGCTGCTGGAGAAGCAGGGTATTGATCTGAAGATAGAGATGGGGAAGAGGCTGGTAGTATTGGAGGAGCAGTTTAAGCGGGAAAAGGAAGAGGCAGATCAGTTGTTTGAAGAACAGCGAAAGACTTACGAAGCTCGAATAGACGCTCTTCAGAGACAGGTCGAAGAGCAAAGCATGACCATGTCAATGTACAGCTCATACACCCCAGAGGACTTCAACGTTGAAGAGGATATTTTCGGTTTGTTAAAAAAATTGATCAAATCTTAAAGAAGAAAAAATAAAATAAAATGCTATTTTAGTGAATCCTTTGTTCGACGTAGCTTGCAACTGGGGCGACCGAGAATACCAGCTTGCTGCGTGGGCGTACAGAAAATGGAAGTTCCATCAGTTTACTTCCCTCAGAGATGACCTTTGGGGCAATGCCATCTTCCTCAAGGAAGCCAACGCAATTTCTGTTGAGCTCAAAAAGAAGGTCAGTCAACTTCAATACAATTAACTGTAGCAATATTTATATTTTAAATTGCCACAGGTTCAATTCCAATTCACCTTGCTTACGGACAGCTTGTATTCTCCGCTGCCTGCTGATCTCATGCCTCCTGAGGATGAAGAAGAGGAAGAACGCCCGGTGGCCCGCACCATCGTGGCGGTGGAAGTGCAGGATCTGAAGAACGGCGCCACCCACTACTGGACTCTAGAGAAGTTGCGGTAAGTTTCGCAATCGGTTCTAATTTATAAAATAGCGCAAGGCTTAGATAAAGGAAGCTCCTTGATAAAAGATTGATGCAAATTTTTGAGTTATTCATAAATGAGAAAAAGAGCCAGAGAGAATTGTGTTGTGAGTGAGAATTGGCTTGAGAGTCAGCTGAAGGCAAAAGAAGTAGTGTGCTAGAGTGCCTGATTGTGGACTGTTGATGCAGCCACCGGCTAGAGCTGATGCGGCAGATCTACAACCAAGAGCTGCTAAGCCCCACCACACCCGATCAGCCGCGGGAGGATTTGTTGCATTGCTTGGCCGCATGTGCCAATCAGAAGTTCTCCCTTACTAATCTCTTGCCTTCGAGGCTGGCGCTTGCCAACAAAATGTGCGTAACTTTGAGCCCTCTTCGCACTGCACTCGCTCACTCTTCAGTTTGGTTGGTCCATCCCTTCGCTTCTCTTGGCCTCTCAGTTGCTGCTTCTTTGCTTGGACAGTGCATGGACAGAGGGGAGCTGTAATGCAGACTGTCAAGTTCTAAAAAAATTTAAAAAAATAAATTAATTAAATTAACAGTAGTCTCTAGCTGTCTTTTTATCTGAATTTTAATGGGTTAAGGAAATTCAATTTTGAAATATAAAAAAAGTCTCTAGGATCAATTAATATGAGGTATGTGTTAAAAATGAAAGGAAATTGAAGTAGGATAATTATAATGCATCATAATTTTGCTTCCTGTAAAATTTTAGCCCCTGTAACACGACATTTTATATATTATTAATTTTATACAGTTTTATCATTTTCAGAAAAAAATCTGTACCTTCTATTATATAATATTGTCCTGTATTTTATTTCTTTGATGTTCAATTTGATTAATATATTATTCTATTACGCCTTTTTGTGTGTGTATTTTGATCTGAATCTCAAATTTCCAAACAAAACTTTCAAGTAAAACTTCTTTTTCAATATTTTTAGTCAACGCCTTGAGTTGATGCGAGAGATGTACCACAATGAAGCAGAGCTTTCCCCAACGTCGCCAGACTACAACGTGGAGAACTTGACCGGTGGTGATCCTTTCTACGACAGATTCCCGTGGTTCCGAATGGTGGGCCGGGGCTTCGTGTACCTCAGCAACCTGATGTACCCTGTTCCACTGATCCACAAAGTGGCCATTGTAAACGAGAAGGGTGACGTCAGGGGTTGGCTCAGGGTTGCTGTTCAGGCAGTCCTAGGTTAGATTTTCAAAAATTAATAATATCGAAATTATTTAATTTTAATTTTATGTTACAGAGGACAACAGTGAGTATGCTAGTGGAGTGCGCCAGTCAGCCAGAATTGCATTTGACGAAGAAGTCCAGAAGCCCAAAAGAACTGTCAGCCACCAACTGGAGCCTGTAAAGTTAGAAGGTGAGAATTTCTCGAGACAAAACTTAGGAAATTCTGTTCATGATACATCATTTTCAGAAATAGATGGCAATGACTGCGACAGTGGCCGTGGAGACAGTTCCGTCTCCTCAGATGCCAAGGATGAAGAGTTGCCTGACCACCTGACAGTGGGACGAGAGTTCACCTTTAGGGTGACAGTGCTGCAGGCAGTAGGCGTCTCCACAGAATATGCTGACATATTCTGTCAGTTCAAGTAAGAAATAAACAAATATTTAATATGATTTTATGGAAACCTAATTAATTTTTTTGATTGAAGTTTCCTTCATCGTCACGATGAGGCTTTCTCTACTGAGCCCGTTAAGAATACTGGAAAGGGCACTCCGCTTGGATTCTATCATGTTCAAAATGCTAGTTTTGTTTTTATTAAAAAGTAAATGAGTTATGTTAGAACTTTTAAAATGATTTTTTAGATTACTGTGACCGTGACAAAGCCATTCCTTGAGTACATTCGAACACAGCCTATTGTGTTTGAGGTCTTTGGCCACTATCAACAACACCCTCTGCACAAAGTGGCCAAGCAAGATTGGTAATCATTTCAATTTGAGGTATTCTTTTTGTGAGCATAAACAGTTGTAACGCCTTTAGTGGACGCCAACCACCGCGCAGAATGCTGCCACCGCACATCCCCATCAGCCAGCCTGTGAGGTCACCTAAGTTTGGAGCACTGCCTTCGCCCAGCACCAGCCATGTGCACGCCAAGTACGATGTGCTTGTCTGGTTTGAAATTTGCGAGCTTGGTGAGTTGAAACAGTTACAAGATATTTTAATTTTATTAATTATTTTCATAAAGATTTGTACCCAAGTATGACTTAAAACAAAAACTTCCATAATTATTCTTGCTTTCTTAAATTCTGTATAAAAAAAAAAATTCATGGAACTCTCAAATTTTAAATGAAACAGCCAAAGTTATTTTGACTGAATTTTTTGGCCTCTTGTTACAGCTCCTAGTGGCGAGTACGTGCCCTGCGTTGTAGAGCACAGCGATGACCTGCCATGCAGAGGTCTTTTCTTGCTGCATCAGGGTATCCAGCGTCGTCTCCGTATCACTATTGTCCATGAGCACGCTGCCGAGCTGAGGTGGCGTGATGTTCGCGAGCTTGTTGTAGGCCGCATTAGAAACACACCTGAACCCGAGGAGGAGGACAATGACAGCTCAGTGCTGTCCCTTGGCTTATTCCCAGGAGAGATCATTGAAATCCCTGGAGACGACCGACAGATGTTCCGGTTCGAAGCAGCCTGGGACTCGTCGCTGCACAACTCTCCTCTTCTTAACAGGGTTACTGCTAATGGAGAGCACATTTTCATGACTATTTCTGCATATATGGAGGTAAAATTAATTAATAGTATTTTTTTTACTGGATAAAATTGCTATATATTGCTTTGTATGTTCAGTTGGAGAATTGTGGACGTCCGGTGATTGTCACCAAGGACCTTAGCATGGTTTTGTACGGCCGAGATGCAAGGACTGGACCGCGTTCGCTGAAGCATCTGTTCAGCGGTAACTACAAGAACACTGAAGCCAACAGACTGTCTGGAGTGTATGAGCTTGTTTTGAAGCGTGCTTCAGAAGCAGGTAGCCCAGGTTTGTCCGTTTTGTGGAACCCTAGTGCCTGTAGCATGAGCAGACAGAGTCAGCACTCTGTTAGGCAGACTGATGTCCCTGAATGGAAATGCATTAATGGATTTTGGATGGGCCAGTCCTGCCTGCACCTAGAGCACCGTCACGAGCAGTAGAAAACGTTTTTTAATCTTTAATTTGATTTAACTTTAAGTATTAAATGTTGAAGACTGTTTTTTGAGGATAAGAAATTACGCAAATAATTATTTTAATTGCTTGAAATTCTCAATATTTTATATTATGCATCTTTTTCTATTTAAGGTAATGTATATTTTTTTTTTTTTTTTTTTTTTTTTTTTTTATAAAAGGCATGTAGTTATGACATTTTTTGATGAACTGCAAGCCTTAATGCTGAAAAATAATTTCATTTTTTAACATCATTATTGTATTAAATATTCAGCATGATTATCATTAATATTGAGTCAATTTTTAAAAATCTTGAAGATAAGTTAAGTAAATACAAGTTTTTTTAAACGTTCATTATCATAAATACCATAGTGGTTTTTTGCACCCCTGCTGGCGCTAACTTGCCCCAGGTGTACTTGCAAGCTAATATTTCACGGCTTTTAGTTTATAACAAATTTGAAATTTCAACCGGAAACTGATTGTATGAAACCACTCTACCAAAACTAAAATATTGCCAAACAATATAGGAGTGCAAAGGCGTCAGCGCCGAGTGCTGGACACAAGCTCCACATATGTGAGGGGCGAAGAGAATCTGCATGGCTGGAGACCTCGAGGTGACTCGCTCATTTTCGACCACCAATGGGAACTGGAAAAACTGACAAGGCTGCAGGAGGTTGAGAAGGTTAGGCATCTTCTTCTGCTGAGGGAGCGCCTCGGCATTGACCGCCAGCCGCAACGTACACACGAGCTGAACAAGTCCGAGAAGGTTAGAGCTAATTTTCATTTTTAATTTTAATTTGTAATAAATTTGAAAAGAAAAAAATCTGGAATAATTTTTTTTGAATAGGAGGTGTGCAACATGGTTGCTAAGGCCACAAACGAGGGTCGCATGAGTCCAGGGCCGCCTGTGACCATGGTTCGCTCGCCTAGTAAAGATGTCTATGAACCGTGGCAAATGACCGACAAGGAGCGTGAACTTACCCAGAAGTGCGTGCGACTCATCCAGGGCAGGTCAATGAAGGAGCTGCCCGAAACCAAGCAGGGAGAGGCCTCTCCCATGGATGAAACTTCAGACATGAGCTGCAGCATGATGTCCATGGCCTCCAGCGTCTCACAAGAGTCAGTCCTGAAACTTTTTTTGAACAAATTTTCTTTACTCTGGTGTTGGATTTTTGATATTTCTTTGCTAATTAAGTTTTGATTGGCGTGCATGAAAATTCGCTTATTACGAGTATTTTGTTTCACAGAGGACTGTCAAAACGTTTGCTCTACCTGCCTATTCGCCCACACATATTGTCATGGTTAGTTTGGACACTATTTTTTGTTGCTCACTTTTGAGTGGCCATAATTATCTTCAACATTTTGGCCTATCAACTTTTCTGATTCTGATCAATTTTTGCTTTCCAAAATTTTGTAGCACCAAAAATATTTGTGTAGCATTTTTACTACTGTAGAATTGAAAAAATCTTGCTTCCTGAAAATAAGTTTTTGGGAAAATTCACAGAAAATTTAATATTTTTTGTCTCAATTTTCCTGATTTTAATTTATTGGTTCAGGCTGCCTTCTCCTGAAAAGCTGCCGCGTGCTGCGTTGCCTGACCCACTGGATAGTCCTTTGGGAAGTCCCAACTCGGGTCTGGTGCTGTACGTGCCTGAGAGCGAGGAGATCAGGGTGAGTCCTGTCGTCTCCAGGAAAGGCTACCTCAATATTCTCGAGGAGAAGACCAATGGTTGGAAGAAGAGATGGGTGGTATGCTGCGCAAATGTTAAAAAAATTCAAGTCTTTTCAAATCAATGATTTTTGCAAAGGTGGTGAGGAGGCCTTACGTGTTCATATTCAGAGACGAGAAGGATGCCGTTGAGCGGGGCCTCATTAACCTTGCTACGGCGCAGGTCGAGTACTCTGAAGACCAGCAGGCTATGGTCAAAGTTCCCAACACATTCAGGTACTTCACTGATGCCTTGTCATTAACGAAAACATACTATTTGATCAATTTTCAGCGTTGTAACCAAGCACAGAGGCTACCTGCTGCAGACTCTGACGGACCGTGAGGTTCATGACTGGTTGTACGCGATAAACCCCCTGCTGGCCGGACAGATCCGGTCCAAACTGGCACGTCGAAGGCCGCTGCCTGCCAGCAACCCTCCCCCAGTCCCCATCCCTGCCAAGTGATTGGAGAGGAGTGAGCCAGCAGAGTGAATGCAAGCAAGCACGAGCAAGCCGCATTGAATATAAACCTAAATTAAGATGGTTAATTAAGAAAAAAAAATTAATTAATTACAAAACTACACTGAAAAAGAGGATAAAAATCACTGTACGCCCCATTTCGTTGCTGAAGCTTGAAAATCACATGCTTGTCCAATACGGTTGATGTTTTCTGTTTCTAGTCGCTTACCCGCGAGACGCTGCTTTCTCTTTTTATTTCTTTTCTGTGATCTGGAGAAAGCTTTGTTATTGTTTTCACAATTCTGATAATTTATCCTGAGTTGAGTAAATGTAATTATCGTTGATGTACACCTAAAGCTTCAAGACGTCGGAGCTTGCCAGTCTGTTCATTCTTGTAAATACGGTTTGAAGAGATTATTGGCATTGTAGGCTGATATTTTTATTTCAAGGAATGATGCTGTCTGAGAGATGAGTGGTCAGTCAAAGATTCTCTAATTAATAGAAATTATGTCTTTTTTAAATCTATATATTTATTTACAAAAACTTTTGAATCTCTAATTGATTTTTTAAATTTGCCAGAAAGTTTTATTCCTTTAAATCGTTGTGACTAAATTTTTTCAAATCTCGTTTTTGTCAGTAAATTGTTTTATCCAAACTGGACTGGCCACTGATAGAGCGAGTGATTATTGCCTCTTAATTTGAGCACTGCGCGCATACTAAACGCCAAGACAACCACGCAAAAAGAAAAAAAACAAGAAATATCCAAAGATAAAAATTGATCTCATGTAACTGCAAAACTACTACTGCTTGTATTTAACTCTTAACATGTGTATGTATAGCACCAAGTATTATCTCACTATGATGTATCTGATAAGAGGTGGAGAGAGTCGATGGGACAGGCACTAGTAGCCTCGGTGCGCACTACATGCTCTTGTCCGCAGTCAAGATTTTTGCAAATTGGATCAAAATATAAGAAAACCCGCAAAATCTTAATACATTCCAATCAACGGGAATCTCAATAATTATTTGTGACACGGAATTATACCGATCTGGTTGTATCTTTGGAGCAGCTGATAATTTTTAGATTTTTTATGTAATCTTAAGAAATTTGACCAGATTCTCTTATGTTTGTTTCATTTCAGCGCAATCGTGTTTCAATCTGAGCTCCGTGATATTATGTATTAGTCTCCTCTGTAAGTGTCACACCCCAAATTGCAAAAATGTTATTAATTATCATGATTGTTTCATTGGCAAAATTCAAAAATAAAGCTCTAGGATATATATGATTTGAAAGCATTAAGTCTTCTTTATTTATCTACAACAATCTACATAACCAAAAATTATTAAATTACTTTAACTCCGTTGTCACTGTTTAAAAGTGAGCCTTAAGCGCATGTGTGTATAAAAGAAGTGTAGCAAAAGCTTTACCAAAAAGGACACCTGTAACAATATTATAATTAATTGCACATTTTTTTTTTTTTTGTAAAATTTTACTGACCATCCAATGTAACATTGGCAAAGGTTCTCATTTGAGGTTGCTTGCTGAACCAACAAATCTACTTGCTGCTGAACCGTCAGCACCTCTGACTCATGCGAAAAGTCTCGGCCTGTCAGCTTATCCCTCACTCGGGTGATGATTTGCAACGCCTTCTTGTTTTGGGCACCCTCTGGAATTTAATTAATTTAAAGTCTTTTTCACAATACAATGAAAATTTCACCCACCTTCTCCGTTATCCAGACTTCCCGTCATATTCTTCTTGGCATTTGATTGTGAAACCCCCAAACTGACTGCAGCTTCCTCCATCAAATCGGCTGTCTCCTGAGATGATGGCATCATGTCTGATGGTTCGCCAGTTTTTGGTCGAGTGGTTTTAGTTTTGGTTGTGGCACTGATGTAACAATATTAAGTAGTTTTTCATAAGATTAATGAAGTAGAGTAACTAACCTGTCCATTAAACGCCAGTTGAGGAGCGGGTCGTAAACAAATGCCTCAAGCACTGCCATCAAACTGTCCTTGTTCCGTCTAAGCACATTGAGGACAGACTCGCAAGTTCGTCGATAGGTGCCTTCGATGCCTGTCACTTCCATCGCGTTGATCAGCATTCTCGTCAGCCTGAAAGGGATCTTCTCTGGGAATTTCTCCCTAGTCATAGCAACTTCGAAGCAGTCCCCAAAATCGATGTGGAGGATTTTGCCGCTGAGTCTGTCCAGCATCAAATTGGACGGGTGGCGGTCGCCCAGGCCAAGAATGTAGCCAACCATGGACATGACTGCCAATGAACGGGTGTAGTTGGTGCGTCGATCAAACCAAACCTCAGAGGAGGGAGATTTCAACCACAAGAGCCGAGCAAGGTCGTCGCCCTAATCAAGAGAAAAGAAGTTTTAGAATTTAAAATCCATGAAAAAAAATATACGAGATGTACCTGAGTGCTGACCAGAGCATGTTCGAAAACTTCAACCTTCTGCATTAACGTTAAATGATCGTAATCCGGTGCCATCTAAAATTTTAAATAGTTACAATTTTTCAGTTTTCTTTTTCTTTTATTCTACCCTAAGCATTATCCTGTGCTCGATGTTGAGAAGAATCTTTTTCTTTTCTCTATAGTCTCTGATTAGGGTATGCAGGGTGTCACAATGAGGCACCCATCCAATCAGGCCACTGTTGGTTGACAACGGTATCACAGCATATCTCTGTAAATGCATTTAAGAAAATGATCCACTCTTCATTTTTTCTTGACTTATCCATACCTGAATAGTAAGGTTCCTCCTAAAGGTGTCAGGGTCATTTATGAGCAGGGTGTTGACCAAGCCGAAAAGCTGCATCACTCGCTCATCCTGGCGCAGATCCTCGTGTCCCTTGAGTAAGAACATGTACTCCTTGCCGTTGGAACCTTTGATGGTGAGCTTCCTGGGGCGCTGCTTGGATGTGATGACTTGCAGTGATGACTTGATGCACGCGATTCTGACAGGTGGTTGGTTTGGGCTGTAAGAACCTGGCACAGCCAACTCCAGGTCTTGGCACAGAAGAAGTTTCGGAGAAACATAATGCAGCTCAAGACTTGTCAGTTGCGGCAACTGACGTGATATGCGCCTGAACACGTGGTAGTAAAGATCCCAGGCTTGATTAAGGTCTCGCACATTTCCCGAAACCTGCAAATAAAATCGCAATGTTTTGTTTATGACTTACTTGGTGGAATTACATTTTAAAATAAAATTATCAAATATCACAATGAAAATTCACCCAAGTGAAAACTCAATCAGGCTCACCTTGTATCTGCCACACCATTCTTGGGCGTCTTGCAAATCACGGCCGTACGCTTGGTTGAATGAAGTTTCCTTCAAAGTTTGCGGGCCTTTCTGAATCATTGCATGCAGTGGCTCCAGCTTCTCAAACATCCCTTTCACGTTCCTTTCTCCAAAGTAAAGCCTGCTGGCCTCCTCAAGACCTTCGTGCCAAAGTTCATGCCACAAAATAGCTACCCTGATGAGTTCATCTGAAACCTGGAAACAGAAAATGGCTTGAATGAGTTTCACTTTGCAAATTAATCAAATCACCATGACAGCCTGTTGGACCAGGCCAGGGCTATGCTCGCACATGTTCTTCAGAAGTTTGTTGGCTGCGTTTCGTCGAGCGGTGCTAGCGGACTTGCAAGCTACCGTCAGTGGGTAAACCAGGGCTTGGGGGTGGTGTTTGCCAATGTCCATGAGCAGATGATGAATGAGTCGGCCCACCTGGGCACGAGGTGTGTCGATTCGGGCAATCAGCTGAGGGATCACTTGAAGCCAGGTGTCAATCTCTATAGTACGCAAGCCTTCGACAAGGGCTTCATAGACTGGTGGCCACTGACCATAGTCAAACCAAAGTGTTAGAAGTCGAAGTGTGTCTTGCAAAGAACTGCCGTGGGAAAGTGAGATGGAGCGGAAGAAGCCCTGGACTGCATTCTTTGTTATGTCCATGAGCGCCTCGGAACTCTGAAAAAGCCACGCAAAAATATTTAATCTGGTACATACAAAATTTTAAAATAGCAAAGAACCACACATAATTAAATTTTACTCTTTTAGCTCCTCTCAGAATTTTTGAAATCTAAAATTTCAAATTATATTTTATAATTATTTATTAAATAATTGTATTGATTCAAAAATTTTATTTTACCATAATTGGTTTAGGGGGCGGCCCTTCACCAACTACTGTTTGTTGCTGCTGTTTGTAAAACAGCACTGTCTCAAAGTTCATATAGGCCCAGGCATGCCAGGCCTTGTACCAGCCACCGTCGTGGTCTGTGGCTGCTGCATAATATTGCAAAACGGCTGGAATGGACTCTTCGTTGATGCCCTGAATGGACTCCTGCCATTCGCCAAGTTTCAAGTAACACCTGGCCAAGAGACGTCGACGACGATCTTGCATTTTTGCATCATCCTGCACAATAATTTGTGTTGACAGAGGGTTCAGTGTTGACTGCACAAATCTGTGCAATTGACTACAAAAAAATTTTTATTACAACACTTAAAAAAAAAAACAATTTAGTTGTACTTAAATGCCTCTTCTTTCTTGCCAGACATCCACATGTGTTTTGTGTATGCGAAGGTGACTTGCGGATGATTTGCAGGTAAAGGCTGATCTGGCTGAAGGCTCGGATCAGTTCCAAGCAAAAGAGTGAGAGTTTTGTGCGAGAGCATCTAAAATTTATTTAATTTATAACGATAAATCAATAATGTAAAATATTTCTTCATACCAGCCTCCCAGATTTTCTGCACAAAGAAGCATACTTCAACCAAGTGTAAACATCCTCATGTGGAGTAACAACAAGAGAGTGCACTTGGATAATTTTCTGCCAGTCCTCCACAACTCGTTGACAACCCTTTATTTAAGTCAAACTGTTAAAATTTCCGATTTCATGGTTACATTATCTACCTGAAGTCGATCCCACCACATTTTTCTGATAGAACTGCGTTTCTCAGGAATCAGCTTGTACAGCACCACTTCCTCCAGCTCGGCCAGCATTTGTAAAGACACCATGGCACCGTAGGCTCTTTGGTACGATTCACCTGCCATGGCAGTGAGTTCCGTGTCCATGAGGTCTCTTGCAGAATCAATCAACTGTTTGTTTCAAAAAAACAATAGTAAATGAATTATACACTAAAATATTTTATTTTACCAGTTGCGCTGATGTGTATTGGCCTCGATGAACCGCCAAGACTGCTCGATAAAAAGCTCCATCCAAGGTGTCCCTTGGAATGCATGCAACATACTGGTCCATCGACTCCCACTGACCAAGTCCCCAAGCAGCCGCTGAAGCCATACGGGCCATTTTCTGCTTTCCCATGTCTTCAACATTTCCCCATTGGCTACTGGCCACTTCGTGCAGTTGGCCCCACTCTCCCAGCGCTTCAAGGCAGCGCATCTGCCCCAACGAGTATTCCAAGTCGTCACTCTTTTCCTTCAACTTTTCCTCGTACATGTGCAGGGCTTTTTCCCAGTTGTGTAACTTTTCATGCCATCGCTCCTGAATTTTGACATCGGCGCCTGCCTTGTGAGTGATGACGTACTCAAGAAGACCAGCGGCGGCCTCTTTCTGCTGCAGTTTGTTGTTGATAGAAATAAGAGACTCAAACACTTGGCTATTGGGCCCATTGTGGAACTCCTCTTCTTTGTAATGAAGAGCTTTGGCGTATGCTCTGCAGAGCATGGCCCGTTCTCCCAAAATGTGTGATTTGATCGGCAGTGGGCCCTAAAATCAACCATTAATTGGATGGAACATCAAAACTGCTGCAACTTACTTTATCACAATGCTCCATGAACTCTGCCAAATTTAAGATAGTTTGGGTGACTTCTGGCAGGTCAGGGACCAAAAGCGCCTGCTGTAAACTTTGGATGAGTTCATCTTGTTGGCTCTGAGTGAGTTGTGTCCAGCACGACACAAAGGCAGCGTTGAATAAATCTCTTGGCAACTGAGAGTATGTCTGGGCCAGCACCCAACAAGACCTAAAAGAAAAATGTAAAATTGTGTTAAACAATATAAGAAATTTTACTAACTTCATCACAGGCGACGGTGATTCTTTTAGGAATTCTATGCTGAGTCGTCGCAACCACTCAATCCAATCATCTTTTGAGACTCTGCGAGTAGAAGCCCAAGCTCTTTGCAATTTTGCAGCGCCAGCAGCTGACATGCTCAACTTTTTAATGGTGGTCGTGTCCATGGACGATAGGTCACTTTCCCTGTTTTTGCTTCTAGACAGACCTGATTTTGAGTGGAAAAACTCCTCTTCTTCAGCCGAGCTTGAGTTCTGTAAAAAAAAAAAAAATATTAGAAACATATTGAACTGAAGAATTTTTTTAACTTACACTTATTACTCTGCAAGCAAGCACTTCATATTTTTGGTGAGCTATTTTATGCTTTGCCAATGTCCTGTGAACCAGTGGAATGAAAATAGTGTATTTTTTGCCGAGTTGTGTGACCAGGGCACACAAGGTTTCCATTGCATAAGGTCTCAACTCGGGATAATTGTCAAGCACCCTGACCAGAGGGTGGATAATTCTTGAAGCCAAGTCAGAGAAGTTAAGGGAGTCGGACAGAACATCAACAGTCTCCAAAGCAGTTTTACAAACTGCTATCGGGCAGTCTGTCGAGTCGAACAATCGGACAACAGGAGGCAATACCAGGTGGATATGCTCGTCCAAGGTTCCACCAAATTTCTGCAGAGCAATAAGCAGTTTCAGAGTTACTTGACGGTCTTTGCTGTTGTCGTGAGTCAAAACTCGAAGAATCTGGGGTATTAGCTGGGGAAGATAAACTTTAAATTCAGATCCGAGCGCAACTGCGATGTGCTCAATTAACAGAATGAGGGTGCACTGCAAATTAGTTGAAACCATCCAAAACTCCTGAAAATTTTAATCAAGTTAATATTATGAAATATAATGCAGAATTCAGGTTATAAAATTTACTTTGATAAGCTCGAAAATGTTGTCCAGATATGGCCTGATATGTTGCTTGACAATAGCAATAAGTTGAGCCAGCTGCTGGAAGAGGAACTCTCGGAAGTTGGCCTCTGCAACTCGAACCACGTGCAAAAGAGAAGGCATGACCTGGGCAATGTACGGAACACACTTTATGCCCAGGCTCTTGAAGATGAAAGTAACAGCCTGCACGACCATAGTGTGATGCTGAGCCAAGGTCGGGTCTCGTATGATTCTCATTAGGGTAGAAATGGCTATGGCAGGGTAGTATTCCTCCAAGGTTGCTGAACTCATGTTAACCAACATTTCACTGGTACTCAGGTCCTGGCTCGATTCTGCCTCAGACTGGTCTGTGATGGAGAGCAGAACGGCTGCATCCGATTGGGCGTCGATCTGGCCAAGGTTCATTTTGTGTTTGTACGGATCCAAGGCACCTAAGAGGCCAAGTACCCTGAGAGTTTCTCTTCGTATGGCAGGATTTTGCTCGGTCTTCAAAAAGGAGAGAAGCGTGTCCAGTAAAATTGGGTACTCCGAATAGGGTCTGATGACATAGCCGGTAGCCTCCACAAGTTGTCCCAAAACCTTCAAAGAAATATTTATTTATTTAAAATAAATTTAAATTTTTTAATATTATTATACCCATAAAGAGACACTTCGTTTTTCAGTGCTGCTTCCGTCGCCTAACATTTCTAAGAGCAAGGACAGCATCTCAGGAAGCCAAGCCACCAACTCAGAGCCTCCAACTTCGGCCAAGTACCCGATGCATGCGAGAACAGCAAGAAGGACTCCTGGATTTTGCTCAGGTTCCCTCAACTTGGGTACAAGCACATTCAGAATGCACTCCATGTACGGTCGAACTAGGCGAGGAGCAGAGTTGACCAGCAGGCTGAGCATTCGAGCCGCTTGCTCTTTGTTCCGACCCAAACCGCTGTGTTTCAGCTCAGTCAAAAGATGAACCAACGTCATTCGCAAGGAAGGTTTGACGTAGGCTGGGTTCATGTTGCTTAGTCTACCCACAAGGCACATTGCCAACTCTCGGACCTCAAAAGCCTCGTCGTTTAGGGCAATGAACAGTGCTGACAGGTTTTCAGCCTGCGCAAGGTGCATATCAAAGGCCTCGTCCATTGACTCAAGCACACAAAAACGAACTTCAGCGTCTGAAAACAAAATTGTATTTTATTATAGTTAAATTCACTTTGAGGTAAAAATTTTACCGGAGTCGGTAATGCCAACAACGAGCAACTTTCCAAGCACGTCTGCCACAGTTGTTTCCAAAGCATGCATTTGTGGTCCTTCAAGAGCAAGACATAAAAGTCGGCTGCACGTACGAACAGACTCAAGTCGAATTTGCGTGTTATCACTTGTTAAGTAATGGTCTGCACAACGTCTAACAAACTGCAGCAATGAGTGTCCTGAAAATTAAAAATTCGGAATAAAAACTATTGCTTGTGGCAAAGATTTTCAGTTTTTCTGACCATCAAAGTTGAAGCTTCCAAGAGTTCTCAAAGCCAGTATTGTGCTCTCCGTGTCAGTTGCATCTTGGGAAATAGGTGGCGGCGAGTGAGATGAATGTCTCGAAAGACTTCCATAGCGCAGAGGTTGGTTCATCAAGACAAGCGACAGCATGCGCAAAAGGCCATCAGAAATATCCCTGCGAAGAGATGGGATAGCTGTAGCCAGTTCTTGGAGGGCTGTAGTCAAAGCACTGCTCAAGCCAGTAGCCAAAATTTGCTCCAAAATGTCTCTGATCTGGGGAAAAATGTTTTAAATTTAATAAGCTGAAATTTTCAATCAAAAATATTTACCTCAGCTTCTAGTCCTGTCCTAAGAGCAACTCCCAACAGAGTTACACAAAATAGAACCGATGGTTCTTGGGTGCTCCTACGCTTTGTCAGGACGGGTGTGTCAGTCGTCGAGCTCCTTTTCTTACCCTCCTAAGAATATATTGAAAAATGTAAATCCCTCATTCCTATCCGTTTTATAATGGGCGATTTTACCTTGGCAGGCAGAGCTGATTTGATAACTTCCATTACTTTTGGTAAGTAAGGTAAAATATCTGTTTCGACAGCAACAGCAATCAAGCCAATAGTTGTGAAAGCCAAGGCTCTATCTTTGTCTCTTGATCGCAGGGAGAAAAGCAAGTGATGCATAGTCACGGCTAAATGGCTGATTAAATGATCCAAGAGTCAAAAATGATGTAAAACTGATTAAAAAGAGATACTCTTTTGAAAACTTTGCTTTGTTGAAAGCAGCCAATCTCGGCAGCAAATTCAGCAGGGCAGACTGGATGTGAGGGGAACGAGAACTTCTATGGTACAAAGCTTGCAAGCAGATCTCGTCAAAGTTCTCTCCTATTAACTGTCGACAAGCTGCACTTTCACTCAAGCCCATGAGCCTGTGGCAGTTTTGTTGGGAATTCGCTGGAGACTTTGCGGTAGGCGTCGGTCTCACCCTCAGCCCAAAACCAAGAAGCTCCTAAATTAATATATATTATATTATTTTTCAATAACTTCTTTATAAACATACAGCATCAGTTTGGGGTGAAGGAAGCTTAAACTTGATTCTATCCTTGAGGCCTTCGTACTGCTTTTCCCACTCTGTGTGGCCACACCTCATCAGCTCATTGATTACCAACAAAGACCCATGAATCCTCTCCTCCCCGCCGCCACTACGTCCTTTCGTTGATGCCTCTTCAAATCCAGTTTTGACTTCTTCATAGCACTGCTTGTACCACAGAGGTTTTTGAGCCTGCTTTGCTGTTTCTCTCTGAGCAGTCACCACCAGGGCGGCCCGAATGGCCTCGACTGCGCCTTCTCTGATTGTCTTGTATGGGTCTCTAACGCCGTTGAAAATCAAGTCAAAAAACTGCTGCACTTGCTGATAGAAGAATGTTGGCATAGAAACTGCCAGTTCTCTCAAAACCAAGACCTGAATAAATGATAATTAATTTAAATATTTCGTTTTCAAAAATGAAATTTATAATAGATAAACTCACAGCAGCAAGTCGTTTGTGTTCATTTCTGTCTCCAGCAAGCCACTCAAAAGCCCGTTTTATCTCAAACTCAAAATATTCTGTGGTGCTGGTGCCCGACACAAGAGCCACTTGACCCATAGTCTTGACTGCCATGTGCATGACATTGATGTCTGTGCAGGGCAACAAATTTCGAAGATAGTTGGCGAATCTGCTGATTCTCGTGTTGATTTTTCCTACGTCTCCTTTGATTAAGCATACTGCAAATAATTTTTAATTAATATTTACAATGAAATTTTAGAATTAAATTTATACTCATGGCAGAGATGCCGCCAAGTTTTTCGTGTGTGTCTTTGCTGTTGACCATCTCGTGGATGTGTTTGTTGAACTCGTCCATGAACGCAGTCCATTCTTCAACAGACACTTCTCTCAACTCAGTCGTGACCTGAAATACATATTGAACAAATTGATTCACTGAAGGTTTTAAGTAACAATTATTTGGCTAGACTTACGTAATGATGGAGCTCCTTGGCTGATTTAGCCCTTGTTTCAGGGTTTCGGGACTTCAGTCCGTTCACAATTTGCATCATAACAGGGGACGACATTGTAATTCTCTCCGACAGGCCTCAAAAAATTATTTTATGCACATCAACGCAGATTTTTTTTTCTAAATCATCTTCCTGGAAACGAATTTATTTTTGTTTGGGTGAAAAGTATGTATCATTCATTTAATTCAATGATTGGTTATGAACAAATCTCGCACGTTTCAATATATGAAAAATAATAATTTTACAAGCTCGAATATGTATAAGAAAAGTCAAAACTTGCCGACCGCAAACATCAAATTATGATACATTTTATTGCGTGCGGCATACAAATGATAAACTATACATATAATAAAAATTGGGCAGTTTACAGCAACCTCATTATCAGTGAAAACTTACCACTTTCAAGAGTAGATCAATGAAGAATCAAAGAAAAGCTATTGATGAAGGTTCAATTAATTGTCTGCATTTTTACTTTGGCGTGGTTTATTTTTATTGTTGTGAAAGCTTTTCAGAAACGCCTCCAGGATCGGGATTGCTAAAAATAACTTTAAAAATATTTAATTTCACGTCGTCTAGTAACAGGGGGCGTAGCTCAGATGGTAGAGCGCTCGCTTAGCATGCGAGAGGTACCGGGATCGATACCCGGCGCCTCCACATTTTTACGTAGGAAAGGATCAGTGTGCACTTTGAGCGGATTTAGAATTAATTCTGCATCGAAAATTAATTTAAACAGACAAGGAAAGATAGATAAGAAATCTCTAAGATTAGCAGGCAAAATCAATTTTGTCACAAAAGTATGTATCATTATGAAAAAACAGAGCAAGTTGCCTAGCCTGCGAACCAGCTGTTGGAATCAAATCAAAATTCACTATTTTTTTTTCATTTCGACTGCTGCGGAGAAAGTGGTTGCCGAGTGTGTGGTGCAAGAAGTCGTTCTGTTTTCTTTTCCACACACTCGGGCTGCAGATCCGCACGAGGATGGTGGTCAGCAGCTCCAGAATCTTGTGAGTTTAAACTTTTCCTTCTTAGCTAAAAATCGTCAACATTGGCAAGAAAAAGAAAATTCGCACCAACGTGTTGTCGGGTGCGCTGGTCAAAATTCTCAAGGCCTACATTTGAATCCTTGACTTTTATGAATGTCATCTCGCGTGATTGAGGTGCGATAAAAAAAAGAGGCAGCTCCTCGTTGCTTGCCAGATAAAAATCTCGTCATCATCGTCATTGGCATTGTGTATGGAGTAACAAGTGAAATATTGGTTGCAGAACAACGTTCTTCAAGATGCCAATTTGATGGGTTGTGCAAGAGGCAGTGCATCTTGGACGAGGCTGCAGCGGACCAATAACTGACCGAGCCATAAACGATCGACCACAACCATGAACCAGCAGGTCATCGAGAAACTGGCACCACCGATCGAGGCAAAGCGGGCCAAGAAGTTTGCCGACACCTTTGTCTGCACCTACATTATTTCGGTTTTTGCTGCTAGCTGTGCCGAACTTGGTTAGAATTATTAATTATGATCTTACGTGTACATCTATTTAAAATTTCTTTTTCAATTTACAGTCACTTATCCGCTGGACTTGACCAAAACGCGACTGCAGATTCAAGGCGAAAAGGGCGGAACTCATGTGAGCAAACAAACACACGCTTCTTTTTAATTTTTATCAGAGTAGACTGAGTGTATATTATATTTTAGTGTTGAACAGCAATGCAGGCTCAACTTGTGTTGCTCAACTTTCTATTATATTATCTATCTGCCTCTGATAGTATTTTTTCTGCAGGCTGATTTGCGTTGTTTTTCTTTTGAAGGGGGTTGACGAGAACTATTAGCGTGCGTGACGAAATGCAAATATGTAATCAGTATTAATGGTTTTTCGACTTTGGTCTGAAAGAGCTTTTAGACTTGGATTGGCTTGGACTTTTGTCAAATGAAAGATTGCAAATACTTCTGAGTTGCAAAACGCAGGACATCAATCAACAAAATACTGTTTTTGTTGATTATATTATAAAAATCGAGCTTTTACCAGATTTCATTATTTTGAAGATATTTTTCAAGAACTGCGTTTATTTTTCAGCCTATTAATTGATATATTTTTGAATAATAATTCTGTCTTTAGGATATTATTTGGCAATTTAAGTATTCAAATTAATTAAAAGCAAATTCTAGTAGCCAGTTGGGAAAAGCTCTCTATTAAATTACTTTGCTTCAGCTGTGTTTTTGTTTATGTTCAGCTTTGCTGATTGCGAGCAAATGCCAGATTAGCAGCATTCTAGCGATAATTGCATCTATGCAAACTGCTGAGAAAGTTTTACTTGTCTGCTTTCCTTTCATACACGTCGATCGCACGTCAATAATTATGGCAAATTATTTTCTGCAATGTTACATATTCAGAATTAACTATACTTATAAACTTGAAACTTGTATCCTTGTATGGAGTAATTGCATAATTTGTAATGCAAGCATAAATTTTCCCAGCAGTACAAACTTTAGCAAGCTTTAACATGTCATACAAACTTCTTCCATAATATTATACTTAACTTAAGGTTACTAACTTAAGGTTGTAGTTTAAAATAAAAAATAATATTTAATGCTACATAAAATATTTTACGCAGAATATATAGACTAATAAAATAAAAATACATTTTCTTCTTTAAGTTAAATATCAATTGGTAAATTTTTATTGAAATTGAAATATTTCAAGAGTGATTGAATTTTGTATACAGTTTTTCCCCCAAATATCTAAACAAACAAAATGAATGTTGGTGATTTGAATTTAAAATCGGCTTTTCCTTTTTCCTTCTTGTGAGTAATTTGTTTATTGCTTAAGAAAAAAAAATTCACAAAACTCATATAGGAAGACCAATAATTTTAAATACAAATCACCACAAATCAATTCCAATCGTGAAATTCTACCTAAAAAAAAAACTTATTCTTAACATGTGCATTTAATTCCAGGGCAAGTACCGTGGATTTTTGGCCACTACGGTGGGCATTGTGCGGGAGGAGGGCTTCTTCAAGCTGTGGTGCGGCCTCACCCCAGCCATTTATCGCCATGTTGTCTACTCGGGAGTGCGCATTGTCACCTACCAGATCTTGAGGGAGGAAGTGCTGCTTAAGGATCCTGATGGCTCCTTCCCCCTCTGGTATTCCATAATTTTGCCTCTGATCATGATCTGACCTAACGGACAGGAAATCAGCAACCTCAGGAGTCTGCGCAGGCGCCCTCGCCCAGTTTCTCGCCAGTCCAGCTGACCTGGTCAAGGTGCACATTCAGATGGAGGGCAAGCGTCGACTGATGGGAGAACCACCTAGGTATAATTTTGTTTTATCCAAAATTCATCGATTATAATTAAAAAGAATGAGAGTGTGACTAAGGAAAATTTCAGGGTGCATAGCGCTTACCATGCATTTACCAAAATTTTGAACAAAGGAGGAGTGCGAGGCCTGTGGAAGGGCTCGATTCCCAATGTGCAAAGGGCCGCTCTAGTCAACCTTGGAGACTTAACAACCTATGACACCGCCAAGAGGCACATTATGAAACACACAAACCTTCCGGACACCGCATTTGTCCATATACTCTCAAGGTATTTTGAGTACTTGTTTTCTGCTACAATTTTAGTTTCTGAAAATTAAAAGGTTGTTTTCATCTCCTGCCAATTCCATTCTCATATGAAAGTCAACCTAATTCTTATGTCACTCTTCTTGCTTTCAACAAATGAACTACTAAATTAAATGAGAATATTATGTTTTTGAAATCCTCCTTGAAAATAAGCTTTGAACTAAAATATGTATTTCATTTAATCCAATTTATTAACATGATAATTTCTTGAAAGGAGAAATATTATTTACTTTTTTCTTTTGACTAGTCCATCGTCTTTTTCTTTTCAAAAAAGATTAATATTGTTGTTCAGCATATACTGAAGTAAAAATTGCATTTTCAGTGGTTGTGCTGGACTTGTAGCTGCAACAATGGGCACTCCCGCAGACGTCGTAAAAACGAGAATTATGAACCAGCCGACAGACGTCAAGGGAAAGTAAGAATTTTGGCAAAAAAAATTCTACAAACCACTTAATTAAAAACTCTACTTTTTCCAGTGGTGTCTTGTACAAAAGCTCAATTGATTGCTTGATGAAGACGGTGAAGAATGAGGGTCTCTTTGCCCTGTACAAAGGTTTCTTCCCTGTCTGGATCAGAATGGCACCGTGGTCACTCACGTTTTGGTTGTCGTTTGAGAAAATTCGCAGCACTATTGGTGCCTCTGGCTTCTAGTATGTTTTTCTCCTGTTAAACTGTAAATGACTCTTAAAATTGGATTGTTTCCTGAACAAAACAAAATATCACGTCAAGGACACTATTGCACTGGACTGCAACATTCCTTTGATGGAGGATTAAGTTTTGGCTGAATTATGGATTATGGTTTAACTGTCGAACTTTCTTTCAATTTGACGGCAGGACCAGTAATTTCAATATTAATAATTGTTGTTTCCAATAGGAGAACTGCATGATAGTAGCATTTTACTAGAGAACTGATTGAATAACAAACACTACTTAGAACTCTTTATTTTTTTTTGCTAAAGTAAATAATATGCTAGAGACTGAGAGGGTCTTTTGGGCTTCACCATGCAAATATAAAGCATCACAGGAAAAATTTTCATTGGAGACTAGCGCATATTTTTGTAGTTCTGTTTCTATTGAGCGTGTGGTGGAGTTACCAATTTTTTTTTAACTTTAGTGACCTCAAAATAAATTTTTTTTTGATTGACTATATACCATGTATTGTGCCATAAAAGCCGTAACTCTCCAGACGAGTTGCTCAGAGTCAATTTAGAGGGAAAAAATAAAAAAAAATTATCCACAACTGTTAAAAAGCAGGGATGCAAATTATGCAAGTAGAAAAATGAAATGTATATTGCATCTATCACTAGTCGTGGCTAAATAATAATACAATAGATTTACAATGTGTGTTCAAATTGAATTTTGTTGCTTTTACTGATTCTTGTTCTTTTAAAAGCTGTTTGAGCAGCTCTGAAGTTCTGACTCTAATGACAATAAAAGTAAAATAATGTAAATTAAAACTCAATTTTATTTAAAGTATCAACTGATAATATTATCTGAATTATGAAAAACCTGAAGAAAAAAACGGATTAAAAGCAAATTAATTGACTGTTATTTTAGCTAGGAAGAACTCAAATAGGGTTTACGCCAGTTTACACTAAGTATGCATTTATTTAATTTGAAACATCATCAAAAGTTTTTTCAATTAAAATAGAATGTTATTGGTATTTATCAACAAGGTATTTATTTTTATAATTTTTTTAGAGACACTTTGGGTTTTCTCAGATTTCTTTTTGGTCAACATGCGAGCGGATCAGCGGCTGGCGGGCGAGCTCGACAAGATCCTGTCTCGCTTGGCGAGTTGTGTGTGCTTACAACACCGAGCGCATACTCAAAGCAATCAGTGCTTGTGAAAATACAATGAAGAAGCTGCGCGCGGATTTGTCACTCGACCGACGGAGCGCGCCGCGATCTTGACACACGAAGAATTTTCCTTAAAAAATTGTCGGTTCATTTTTTTCTGCTCAAATTTAGTGGCTTTGCGATGAATTTGATATTTTACTTTTTCCACCCATTTTGAGCCTCTCTTATAGTGAATAACCCAGCAACACTGTGTTCGCCTGGCTCTTATATGCCGAGTTTATTCTACTGCGCAGCATTATTTCCGAGGCAGCACGAAGAAAAATAAAAAATATATAAATTCATTTCTATTTCAGCTCAAAAGGAAATGTTTACGAGGAAAAGCAGTTGTGCGAATTTTTCGATATGAACCTCAAATTAATATTTATTTCGCAAACTTGGGCCGAGCGAGTGGAGTTCGGAATATAGTTATCGCGATGGGGAATCCACAGGGAGACGTGGCAACAGAGAGCCGTCACAAAAAATTAATGATCGAGCTTCCATTTCCCCAAGCAACAACCCCTCGAGCCCGTAAAATTCCACAAAGAGCCCCAAAAGTGGCGAAAAACCCCGCGCGCCACTTGAAAAACGCGGCTTCGATCAAGCATGAACTTTCAAATGCCCGAATTTGACCGATAAATTTAGCGCGCATCACATTAGCTACGGGAAAAGGGTCAAAAGTGGGCGGAGCTTGAGGCGGATGGATAATTGCATTCGTGCCTGTTTTTCTTGCATAGTGCTATCAACTCGTGCTGACAAACAAGTTCTTACAAGCTAACAAGATCAATAAACGGGCAACGCCGATTGGTTAGTAAAGGAACTGGTCAGATCACGTGACTAAAGGCAGCTCTTTGATTGGCGGAGCGAGGAATGCGGCGCCTGCCACGAGAGGGGGTCGGAGTGAGAGAGATTTTTTGCTGCTCTGTGCCAACACTGCTGCTTTGCTGCGGCAGCTGCGGTCAACACCTGCCTCAAAGCTGCTGCCATCTAGGCAATACGGCGCGAGACTGCGCAGCAGAGCCCGCAGAACGCAGAACGAAGCAGCAAAAGCAGCAGATCAGCGACGGCATTTCGACCAGAGAAATGGCTTCCTCAATGGACACAGCCACTTTCTTCTCGAAAGGCACCCCGGAACAGTATAAATTTGTGCTGAGTATGTACACGGACGCCCTGCGACTTAAGTGCGAGCTGAAGAAGGTGAAGAAGCCCGAGGAGCTGATGAGACTGGACAAATGGTGAGATTGCCGTCTCTAGGCGCAAGCAGGCTCGGCTTCGGCCGCGACTTACCCTCAAACAAACAAGTCAATGAACCCTGGACGACGGGTGTTGCGGTCGCCGCACGTCACGTGCGTGCACCGGCTCGGGCCAGCCCCCGGACGGCGTCCTCCGCCTCCGGAGGCTACCCAGCCTTTGGCGTCATTCGGCAGATGACGTTTGCAAATGACGCCTTTATCCCGGGGCTTTCGCCGACTGTCCCGATTTGGCCGGACACTCATTCCTCGCGCACCCCCCATTGCCAGACCCGTAAAGTCCGCAGCCCAAAAGCCGCCCTGAAGCCCACCGGCGTCCGAAAGAGGAAACTTGCGAAATCGACTGCTCGCATTTCAAAATGGAGACCAGCCATTCCCTTCTTCTCTCGGCTCTGGGGAATTGCGGCATCGCATTCGGAAAAATTATCCCGATCAGGCCCATCGCCGGTGTTTTGCACACCGGCCGGCGCCAGTCCGTCTTGCCAGAAGCAAAATTGACCCGGCGCGCCGGCCCTGTGTGCCGGGCTATGCGTCCGTCGAACGCTCGGCGATAGCGATCGCGCCATGCATTATGAATGACAAGCGCCGCTGCCACTTCCCCCCTCCGACCTCATTTAATTCCCGAACAAACTGCACGTTTATTTTAAAAAAATCCTCACAATTTTGATCAAATCGAACAGGGCGAAGTTGATCTTCTCAAAATGTGCGATTGATCGTGTTTATTTTAATCCGGCGGCGGCGGCACATCCGCTCCGCCTGACGACAACCGACTGCGCCTCTCTCTCCCCATGGCCCCTATGCATTGCAGCTCTCTCTCTTTCTTTCTCTTTCTCTCGCGCTCGCACACACACGACTTTCGCGGTCCACATCGGGGCAAACATCGCACCCGCCAGGTGGACTAGGACTGTTGTGTGTGACTTTAGTCTCCTTTGAGGCGCCTCGCTCGCTCTCTCTCGTTTTATGTACTCTCTCATGTTATTTGCGCGATTGATGCATGGTCGGCGGTGTAGCGGCGCATTCGCTCTCTCTCTCGCTCGCGTCGGCTCGCTCGCTCGCTCGCCACCCAGCAGCTTGAGCAATGGAAAATTCCGTCCGCTTTGTATTGTGAACGCGCAGCGGTGCTTTTTGCCGTTCCTTCGCTAAGTGCTTTTTACAACTTTGGTTTTTTTAATTGATTATGCATTTTACGTAGTTTTCAATTTAAAAGTTATTACTTTTTTTAATTGCTCCCACTTTGCACGAAATTAATTGGAACGATTTTTTATTGTGAGCACTTGATTTGCCGAATTACTTACTAAAGCTAATATTCTTGACTGAAATGATTTTACGCAAGTCTTTAAATTTTTTAGCCGGGCTGAAAATTTTCTTTTCAACTATCACGAGTCGCCATTTTGTTGATGCTCGAATATATTCAAATAGTTACTATTTTAGCATTTGTGAAATTAAATAGGCTCTTCTTACCACTAAAAGACGAGATTACATCCGGATCACCCTTTATTGTTTTAAGAGATTTTTCTGCCTCAGGTTTTTTTATTATTGACGAATAATTAGCAACAGTACATAGATCAAATAACACTACAAATAAATTTCTTTGTAACCAATAAATAAATTTAAAAAAAAGATGCACGTGCGAGCGCAGATTTTTTGAACGCATCATTCTGTGTGAAAAATATGATTGTTCCTTTTTTTAGTTCAACTTATTTTTTTAATTTTACTAAAATATTTTTTTATAATTCATTGGCTTTCAACTGCTGTCAACCCACTTTAAATTATAAAAAAAAAATTATTATATTTCTGTTCCACTCTGTGCGGTCAAGAAATATTAAAATTTTTCATTAGAGTCTATGATGTGCTGCGTTATCTTCCCGCTTTTTTAGTTGAACCGTTTATGAGGTTCCTTTTTCTTTGTTGCATTGTGGAGGGTCAGACACAAGCAACGTAATTGTATAAGTGTCAGTCAAGTCACGCACACTTGAGTCGTTTTGCGGACGTTCATTCAAATCGCAAGTAATCTTATCTCTTATCATTTTTAAGTTTTCTCACAATGACGCCAGCCCGCCATAATTACTGTTGCTGATAAACGCATCACTCACTTCTGTTATATTTTGAAAAAAAAAGGAAAATTCAATGTCTCGTCGTTCAAAACACAAAGTTGCCATTTCAATTTTGGTGTAAAATGTAACTTATCTCATGAAATATAATCTTTTTATTGTTTTTTTTCTCTCTCAAAAGATTTATGTAGTAAGTGAATAATTATTTAAGATTTTAGGTTACATTGTAAGTAATTTTTAAATGCTGTCTTTTTCTAGTACCGCTAGATCCTAAAATAAACACCGTTTAAAACTTATCAAAATTTGAAATATCGATCATTATAACTTGCTCATCTACAACTACATTTTTCTACTCAACTGCTTTATTTAAAAGACGATGATGTCTTGTAACTTGGAAGTAACTTGGTGGCGTCGTAGCGTCAGACTAGTGGAAACTTTTTCTAGCAGTTTCTTAATTTAGCTCGCTTCTCAGAGAAAACATAAAAGAGCAGATAGATCTTAAGAAAATGAACGGAGCCGGCAGGAAGTCGAGGAATAACTCATTTGTCCGTTAACTGGAATTGCAATATGCGCACAAGGTTTCCTTGCTTTCAAACGGCATTCAGTAATATAACAAATATAATTCATTTGCAAACCCCTGTCATTTTATTTAAAGTCGTAACAGCTCAAAACCTAAGATTTTTTTCTCTTTTGTCGCACAGGTACCAGCACGAGCTACCGAAGGTGTTAAAATCTCGGGGTAAAGACCGTCATTTGAATCACGAAGAATTGGTACAGGCTATGAAATGGAAATTGGCTGTAAGTAGAAATTTGTTTTCATCATAAAAATTTTGTCTCATGGCCACTTTTCTGTTTGTTTTTATGAAAACAAAAAACAAAATATGTATAAATTTGACTCTTAATTTATTTTGCAAAAGTTTTAATAATAATTTTATTTATTTTGCTATGATTTTCAGAGAGGCAAATTTTACCCGCAACTGTCGTATCTGATCAAAGTTAACACACCCAAAGCTGTAATGTCCGAAACAAAAAAAGCGTTCAAGAAGCTGCCAAACCTTGAAAGCGCCATCACAGCTCTGACCAACCTGAAAGGCGTCGGCACCACCATGGCGTCTGCCCTTTTGGCAGCCGCGTGTCCTGAGGAGGCGCCCTTCATGGCCGACGAGTGCCTCATGGCCATCCCAGACTTCGAAGGCATCGATTATACCACCAGGGAATACTTGAACTTTGTTCAACATATAAAGACAGTTGTCGACAGGCTCAACAAAGATAGTGAGTATTAACAGTTTATTAATTCTGTTATTTATTGTAATAACTCTTCAAACACCTCATCAGATCCCCCTGAAACACCGGAGGAGGACGTTTGGAATCCACACAAAGTTGAGCTGGCTCTGTGGTCACACTACATTCTCTCTGTGAACAAGCCAGAATTGCTAGAAGAAGCACCCAAAAATGGAAACTCTCATCACACACCTGCAAACGGAATTTCTAAACCAGACGTAAGTGTAAGTTCCTTTTCCGGTTTATTATGCGTCATGAATTTATTAAACATTTAACTTGCATTTTGTCAGGTTTTTTATTCAAATAAGCATGCATGGATAAAAAAAGTTTTAACATTTATGTTACATAGTAAAATTCTAATATTTTTTATGACTACAAACAAGATTCAGCCTTTAAATTATAAACTATAATTTTCACAAACTCATGGCTCTAAGATTACATTTAATAAGGATAGAAAGCTAAAAATAACTTTGACTTGTATACAAGTCAAAGAATTTACATGCACCATTTCCAAAACTCGAGTGTGGGATGCTAATAAGAAATTTTGTTTCAGGAGTCTATCTCGGACGATAGCACACAAGACACAAGCAGCAAGGACTCTCCAGCCCCCACAGGCATCATTGTAAGCCCCGAGGACTCATTATTAGAGCCTCCAACCGAAGACTCGATGGACGCCAACACTGGCAACGACGAAGAATCAAGCAGTCAGGACACGCCCGAGGAGGCCAAAGAAGAATCTCAGCCCGCAGCAGCTGCCCCAGCACCGGAGCCCATTGTGGCTGAAAAAGAGCCAGAGCCGGCCGCTGAGGAGCCCAAGCAAGTGCAGCCTGACGAGCCCAAGAAGGAGGTGGAGGAGACGACGACAACAACGGATGCGCCAGAGAAGGAGGCGGCCATCGAAGAGGAACCTGCGGCAAAGCGACCCAAAGTGGATGGCGACGAAGACTAGTGGCTCTGTGGCAAACACCGCCTGTAGTTTTTTTCTGTTTTTTATTTATTAAGAGCATTACATTCCAAGCAGGACGCCAGGGCAGTTCTCGTCGTTAGTCCACGAATTCACTATTTTTTTGTTCTTCGAAAGGGACTGTAGATGTAATTTGGAGTAATTCAGGCAGGCATGCTATGGGCCGTTGATTTTTGGCACTGATTTCGTGGCTTTTGCGCTGATCAAACGTCTTTAATACCCATCTACCTACCATTCATGTATGAGTTTATGATTAAACAAATTTAGCTGATAATTTATTGTAAATTTTTGTGCTGCAACAGAGACTTAGCTTGTCGGTTTGGTGCCAAAGGTCTTGAGGTCTTGAAGCATCCAAAAATTGTCTTGTAAACGATCATTTTTTCTTGTGTAAATACCAAGTAATCAGCTCTGCCAACATCACACTCACTCACTCTTGTTCACACGTCTCACTCATCCATCCACTTTCACAAACACACTGACACACACAAGTAAGCCTTGGCAAGGCTGAAGTCCCCAACGAGAGAGTATTTGCCGCCGCTTCTCTTCATTTTTTTCTCTTTAATTATATTTTAATTTTCACACTGTTCTCGACTAGTGAAAGAAATGGAAATAAAATATTTTTCTCTAGCAAGTAAGTTTGTATGGTTACGTTAACAAAGAAGAAAGAAAGAAAGCTCCTCTCCGAAATATGAAAACAACTGGTAGCACTAGCAGATCATCACTTCATGGCCTTAAAAGAGCGCGCGCAGAGAGACTGTTTTTCAGTGTCCGTGAATTGAGCAAATACCATAATGAGTATATATTGACTTTGCTACGCATTATTCACTTGAATGTGAGAGTAGGATTAAGTGGATTATTTAAAAGAAACCAAGACCAACACAATAAATCATAATATACTATGAACATTTTGATTTTTTTACGCTTTTCCTCTTCCTCGAAAACTACATTATGAAATAATGTTTAAGTCAATTTTTGAAAACCTTTTTAACTCTTCAAAATTCTTTTATTGCACTGCTCAATTACCTTTCTAATTGTTGAGTTTGTTAGTTTCTAAGGTACAATAAATTTGTCAAAAACTCTAATATTAATTTACAAATTTCATTAAAAATATAATGTTAATGAAAAACGATAAAAGAAATTCCACAGGCCAGTGTTGGCATAGATCTGTGCGGACTGTGCGTAAAGCTTGTGCCTCTTCGCACTCTCTTTGTTTCGGTTAGGACTACCAACTGAAACCCGTAAATATAAATTCTAGACACACGTAATATAATTATAGTGTGTCCTTCTTAAATGGGAATCAGGTGATTTGGCCCTAACATATCATATGACCCTCATTATACGGGATGAATCCATAGATTGGCAGAAGAATCGCATTGACGCGTTCGCAAATAAGTAAAAATTTGTACTTTATCTAATAATTGAGTTCAAACGGAGGTCAACTTTTAATTTTAATTACAAAAATTAAGGTCTACTTGGGACTACACGGCCTCGTATGCGGACACACACACATAGACATGTCGTGAGAAAAAAATTCAAACTTTTATTCAAATTAAAGTTCAAACGTGGGACAATATGTTAATATATAAAATTAAGGTCTACTTGCGACTACTGGGCCTCGTGGGCAGACACAACGCGTAAAATACTAAAAGTCTAAAGTCGAGAGTCGAGACTTATTTACGCTAACAAGCAAGCCAAATTTAACTTTCAATTCATTTATTCTCACAAGTAAAATAAGAAAAAAATGGAAACGTAAACGTATCACGTTGGGAGCCTAATTAGGATATATTAAAAATCTAACTGGCCAAGCTGAGGAACTGTACAATTTTTTCAATTTTTTAACGCAGCTGGCAGGGAATTCCACTGTTTGCAATTTGGATTATTTGGAAAGAAAAATTTTGCCGCCCGGGCTCTGTACGTACTTTTTGGAGAATTAAACAGCACTCGCCGCCACTGATTCTCATCACTTGGTCGGTGGTGATTCTCGCCTTGGAACGTCATTGGGTGAAGATGTAAATTTATTTTATGATTTGCATTTAAATGCTTTTCCGGAAAGCTTATAGAAAAAAAAATTTGTGATTTTTTACCCTCTCAAAATTTTTTGTAGATTTTACTTTTTTCAATTTTTTGAATGGATGGTGTATTTAGTTATATAGGCAGTTGCCTTGTGCTGTTTCATCAATAATTTATTTATTTATTGATTTATAATTTTGCAGTAAAATGTTATGTGCTTTTTTTATATTATTAAAAAAAAAATCCTCCGATGGAAGAAAAGCATGTGATTTCATTATTTCTAAGTAAATTCAGAGTACAAACTGCCTTATTTTGTTAATTCGACGTCTTTATTTCTCTGTTGTACATGAAGACATTTTTCATTCATTCTTGTAAAATCATCAATGATCAATTATTAACCGGTTGTACATATTCTATTAGATCCTTCTTACACCCTTGTACTCCCTAAAGTTCTAAACTTCATTATTAATCAACAGTAAACCAAAACCAGGCTGAAAATTATGACAAAAATGTATCACAAGAGCTCCTTACAATAATTATGTTTCTTTTCTGCGTCATATATTCACATAGTATGGAATTCTTATTGTTTGTTACATTATAATAATTTATCATTACAGTCAGTCACATTGATGAGATATTAACAAACAGTATTTTTATGCTTTCCAGTGTAAATCGTATGACAGGACAATCTCGGGTTTGAGTAAAAAGAGAGATATATTTCAAGGATATGCACCGTAGATATTTTTACATAGGGATATGGTTGGGAAATTGGTGATTGTGAAAGTTTGGTTTTCTGACATTTTTACACAAGAATTCCCTTCTGCATGGAAAGTATTGAAACGAAGGAATGGAGAGAAAATCTTTGATAGAGAGAAGCCAGAATTTTTGAAGGGGACATTTATAAGTTCCAAATTTTCTGTATTTTTATATTTATAGATGATTTGTTTGCTCGGATTGCTCCACATAATAGCTATGCTACAAAGTAAATAACAGAACTTTAATGAAATGCGCCGATAATTTAAAATATTTCTTTAAAAAATTTCCAAACTTTTTTTGATGCAGTACGTGTTTGATAAATTGGTAAAAAATTGTAGTACAAAAGATTTAAAAATCCAATACAAAAATTATCTATAATTAGAAATAAAACAAGGAATTTTTACGCCGTAAAACAAAAAGCGTTTTTCATGTTTGATCAAACAATAGCGCTGAAATGTGTTAATTCCAATCGCACTATATAACCTGCGTCAAGTGCCACTCCATTCGATATGTCCTCCCCTTGAGCAAAATTGAACCAAGTGATATATCTCTTCTCCTATTAGCAATCTATAGCCTAGTGAACTCATGATGTGTAGCACGTATTCAAACTTAGCAGAGTATTTTTTATTTTTAAATTCGTATGTCTTTCCCAACACACTTGGTCGAAGAACCGAGGTAAATGCAGTCACTGGACACAGATATGTCAAAGAGGAAGAATTCTTCACACGCAGCTCTCTGGTAGTCTGTTGGCCATCAGTCTCTCCTTGATAAACACCCCATTCAGCTCGAGGTCTGTCGATGGACCCTGTTGCTGCTGCTGCTGGGCTTGGGCCGCTGCACTGCTTGGTGAGGGCAGCCGAACAGGACCACTGCTCCACGAAGGACTGCCAGCTACCGGTTGAGTTGCAGACTAAATTTAACACAACAAATATTCAGTAAAATTATTCTCAATCGCAAATAATGCTTCTTTGTACCATGGAAGGGGATAGCACTGGTGACATCACTTTTGGTGAAATCGATGGCCATGGTTTGAACTGTTGATGGTCTTGCAACTGGACATTTCCATTATTTATTGAAGTGCTGACACCAACCTCTGTCTCATGGTGAGAACCAATTACTGGAAAATAGATTATGTTTGTTTTTCTTATTGCTAAAATATAATAAAATAATTAACATAATTAATCATTCTGGAAATTCTTTGATACTAGTTAATTTTCTCTACACTTATTTAAATAAAGTTTAATAAGTTATTTTATAAGTTTTTAACAATTAAAAATGGAACCAAAATAAAAATTTAATGATCATTTCAAAAAAATTGTCAATATTAATTTTTGTATTAGGTGCATATTTTATTTTGTTTATACTGACCAAGATACTTGGCAGGTATTAAGTCTGGATCCTTCTCTTCATAAAGGTCAAGCTCTTTTGGCTGGTGCTGCCCACCGTTTGTACGTTTCTTTGGTGGAGATGCCGTCATAGGCTGATTTGAGGGCGACGAGCACGCCCGCCGGGACTTGATGCCTAACAATAGAAATAGGGCCACTAGGGTGAACGCGACTCCGGTGCCGACCCCTACTATTGGAGACAAAGAAATGGCTGCGCTAGTCACTGAAAAATTTACAAAGTTAGGCAACAAGGAAAAAAATAATTTCTAAATCTTAGTACCCGTGTGTCTGTCTGAGTCTCGAAATGTGATTTCGTCAAGCACCGTGGGTTGCGAGCGGCCCTTGGCGTTGACCGCGTACACCGCCAGCTGGAACGTGACCCCAGGGTCGAGGTCGGCCAGCACGAAGAAGGGCTGATCGGAGGTTATGTTGTAGCGAAGGCCGCCACCGACGGCCACCAGCTCCAAAGCGAAGTGTTGCGGGAGGCCACCATCAAAGCCGGCTGTGCACGCCACTTCCACGGACGACGTTGTTTGATTGAAAAATGTACAATTTCGCACTGGAAACGGTTTCCCAGCAGCAACAACCTTAAAAAATACATCGTATCTATAAAAACTGTTAAAAATACATTTTTTAGAATAATTTCAACAATTATAAAATGGGTTTTCAACTAAAACGTAATATGTTCAAAAAATTAAACAAAATATAAATTTATTTAATTAATTTACTTGTTATAGACTTGTTACCCTTTCCCGTATCATAGAAATTTCAAAGATTATTTTAAACTATAAATTTTTACTATGTGATAAGATAAATTTTAACTTTTAATGCACAAAAAAAATAAGCGTTTTTATTTATTTGCATAATTTTGATACCTGGAAGACACAGGGCGCAACTTGATGTCCAACTGCGTTGACCGCCCAACACGAAAGTGAGCCGTAATCAAGCTCCGAGGCGGTCGTGTACCTCAGCACACTGGACGCAGGACCGTCCGAGTAGAAACGATCTGGAGATACGTCCAGCGTCTCTCCAGAATTGTTGAATTTCCACCGGAAATGTACCACCGGCGGGTCCGCTTCCACCTCGCACTTGATGTCCAGAGTTTCACCACGGGAGGCGCCAACAACTAAAATCTTTTCTTGCCGACAAACAGGCGCATCTGAAGCAAAAAGAGGGGAAAAAATATGAAATTGATTTCTCAAATTTAAAAGCAATTAGAAAGTTCACGATTTATTCAGATTTCTTATAACTTTACTTGTTAATTTCTGCCAGTAATCGAGTTACTGCGATTATCCAGGTTATGCAACCGGCCTGACGTAGGTCAACCGCTAGTTGCATAACCCATATTTACTTTATTATAAATCCTCAGACAATAAGCGCATTTTATATTAATAAAACTTGCACATAAAAATAAAGAAATTCATTTAAAAAGCAATAATTAATACAATAAGAAAAAAAATTATTACAAAATAATTAGGGATTTAAATATGGAAATATTTACAAGCAATGGCAAGTTACGTTATTTATGCTTTTAATATTCAATATTTTACTAAATTTTAATATATTATTGAGCTATTTATATAAATCCAAGAAGTCCACAACAACAGGTTTTAGGTCCATAAAGTGAATTTTTATTTCTATTTAAAATAAGATTGCTTCTTATCCATGAAACTGAAATAAAAATGATGAAGAGAATTTCAACAAGTCCTTACACTTCACTCTGAAGTCGAGTTCGTTACTCGCTCCTTCACCCTCAGAGTTGCTGGCCGCGCACGAGTACTTTCCTGCACTCTGTCTGGTCACCTTCTGCAGAACTAGACTCTGGTTGCTCCTGATAATCCTGGCCGAGGCGTTGTGAGTCAAAAGCAGGCCCTGCAAACGTAAGAGGATTTTTTTGTCAATCCATTCTGGTTTCATTTCATTACGTCAAAACCCCACTTAGGCATCCATTTCTGGTGCAAAAAGAAAAAATAACGCCGCTCTTTTTCCACCTTCTTAGGAAGTTGAACCCGTTTCGCGCTGAAAAGCGACCGAGAAAAGAAAGAAGGTGGGAAAACTCGGCAATCACAAGTGAATATCACTGGGAAACACACTTTCAGACAAAATCGCACCCCGGTCATTAATCTTATTTCCTTTCAACGCGCCAACTTCCTCTTTTTCCGCAGAAAAAACGCGAGAGCAAAACTACCAGCAGCGGTGAATGTGGCGATCACTGAATTACGTTGGAAAAGTAATTCCGAGAAATTGCTCTCATTACCGTCGCCGGAATGGTTTTCAGGCAGAAAAGTCCATCCGGAATGTGTGCTGGCGTATATATACTTTTTAACGAGGTGCTCCGAGAGGACGAAAATCAATCCCGGGTGAGCTGCACCGCCGCTGCACCATCCACTTAATGGCACACGCGGGCAAAAATTCTGTGCCCGCAAAAGTAGTCGAAAGCGGGGGCGAATTCCTAATAACTAGCGGGGCGGACCAAAATGTCCCGACGCTCTGGTGGGAACCGACGGGTTAATATTTGATGCGACCGACCGTGCAATCCCTGACCAAGTGAGGGAGATGAAATTTTAAGAAGCACGTCGCATCATTACTTTTTGGTCGCCGGCATTAGCGAGAGAAAGAGCGAACAAATGTCCGTGTCCAGCGAGAATTGCGGTAATTAAAAGGGTCTCTGGGGGAAAAAAAAGGGGAACGTTTTGTTTTTCGGCCTTGTGTGAATAAACGGTCGGAAAAACGGACTTGGCGTTAATTAAGTTCTTGCTTTTGTCAGAATTTAGAAGCGAGGAAAATCTACGGTTTGATACCACGATGACAAAATTTGTGATTCAATACGATTTTAATGATCGAAGGTTTTTTTTAAAAAAATGAATAAATTTTCAAACTACTCAATAAAAGTAAAGAAAAAAATATTATGTAAAATGTAAATAATTAAAAAATTATATACTTTTATTATTTTTTTTTTGTTGTAGAAAAATAATTGATTGTATTTAAAAAATTAAAACGTAATTCAGTTAATGTGTTAATTGAGCAAGCCAGCAAAGTTAAATTATAACTTACAATTAGGATTGCTATTAATTATAGTTTAATAGTTTTAAGCACTCTTGTATTCAGGTTTACTTGTCATACATAAAAATTTTTATGCTGCACATTCAATATAGCAGCAAATAACAATCAGAATTTCATGTCCGCTTTTAATCTCTGACATGTACATTACATACGTTTGTGAGCAACAAAAAGGGGAAAGACGTTTTCTCTCGTGACAAGAGCTGTCGGAGGCCAACGGAGCGTGCAGAATGGCCTTTGTAATAATTCCTCATCGGGGCAAAAAGTGCTGAAGGACCGACCATCGCCGGCAGCAGCACACGATCGCAATTTCCAGCAGTAAAGCGAAAGAAGAAAGAAAGTAAGTGTAGAAAAGCTGCAGTGACAATTAAAAGTCGACGCGCGGAAATTTGTTTGCTCCTCAAGTGAATTAATCCTCGTGGCAGCATGCAATGGGTGTGGTTTGGAATAAAAAAGTTAGCCATTGAAGAGAATGGCCGGCCGGAGAAGTAAGAAGTAGCAGTCCAAATGTGCTTCCATCACCTTGCTTGGCGCGCCGGCCTGCTAAAAAACGCGCCCTTCGTTTTCTTTTGCTCTTTCTTTCCTCCTCCGCCAAACGACCGCCGCTGTTTAAACTTAACGAGCTCAATTACTTTTTTTTCCAATGGCCCAATCATTCCCGGCGCAAAAGGCCCCGACAAATAACTAACTCGGTTTGCCGAATCAGTCCGTAGCTAACTTTATTGTGCAAGGCGACCAGAGAGACGCAATTTACTTTTGGAGAAAGGCATGAGTCGAGGCGCATTTTCTCCCCTCCTCATTTGACACTTAAAAGCTGTTAAGGTCGCTTTATTGGTTTAACAGACCTTCCCAGAAAAACGTTTATTTTTTCCCACTTAGCGTTGTTCGCTAAAAAAATATGGACAGCCGCCATATGGTAATTAGATCAACCACGAAAAGTAATTATTACGTTCAATTGAAGCTAAATTAGGTGAGAAATAAGAAAGAAAATAGAGTTTTGTTGCTTATGCTAACAGAGCTCTTAATAAAAAACGGCAAGATGTGAAATAAAAAATTTTATTTATTAAATTTGTGAGACTTTAACTATTTTTAATTCATTTTAAATAAAATAAAAGTTCACCCCGTCGGCTATTTAAAATGGAAGATTATGCAAAAAATAAATTATTTGAAGTAAATGTTTTTTCCTCTAAGATTTCGATTTTTGTAAACCCTTGAAAATTTACGTTGGCGCATCTCTATTTTTACAACGCCCAACCAGTCTGCGAAACCCCAATTCCGCAGAGCCATTTTTCACGTCCGTCTGCCGCTCTCTCGCCCACCAAGGTGCTGGTCCAGATGCATTCTCGGCTTAACTCTTTAATAGGCGGTGCTCTCTTTGCTCCCTTTTTTCGGGCCTGGCCAAATGGCCAGCCGAGAGGCTTGCTCGCTTGCTCTCGTCAAAATGAGCAAGAAGCGCTTGTTTAATCCCGCCGCTCATTCCGCGCCAGCAGGCAGTCTCGCGTAAAAAAACTACTTTTATTTTACCGACGACGCCACGTTTACGTTTGGCAACTCAAAAAGCGGCTCGCATTTCCTCCCACACGCAGCCGTGCGTCCGACGTGGGTGAAATTTGTTTCTGCGGTTTGCAAACCGCTCTATCACGGAGAGGTGACGATTCAAATTGAAATCACTCACGTTATGCAACCAATTCAGCTTCCGCCACGGAGGGTTTGCTCGAACGTGACACTCGAAGTAGACGTCGTCGCCCTCCTTGATGTCGTCAGGGTTCAGGGTGCTTCCGAGTTTCAGCAGCAAGATAGGGGGATCTGCAAAATTTTAAATAAAATGAATACAATCAAAAATTATGCAAATTTTGTAAAGATAACACATTGAAAATAACAAATAATTGTATAATTTGAATCATTAGAAATTGGGAGATTTTAAATTTTATTAATTATGTGATATAATTATACTTCTTTTAAAAATAAAAAATAAAATGGCCATTTAATTATTCTGAATAATTTACAATTGAAATAATTGCACAATCGTTTTATCTTTATAAATTACCGAAGTTAGTTTATTTTTATACATACTTTTTAGATCATCGTAATTTTACTGAACTTAAAAACTAATGTTGTGCTTGAGAATTCTCAGTAATATGTAATACCATGAGCTAATTTTAGAAGTATAATTCCATCAAGAATTAATGCTTTCCTAGTCACGGGCAACTTTGGGAATTAATTGCTAAGTTTCTCCGCATGCAGAAAGTTGTCTTGTGCAGTGGAGAGAATAGATCGACTTACAAACTACTTCAATCCGCCACGTGTCTTCCATATAGGCGCCGGTCACGTTTGGATTTTCCGCCCTGCAGGTCACGTGTTTGCCATCGTCGTCTGTTGTTGGCGTGAAGACCATTTCACTGAGGGTCAGATTGTTGCTCGTCTCGTCCTAAACGAATCAGAGATAAGTTGCTCGTCTCACATTAATGACTCTTCTCGTCAAGCAAGTTGGCCCGAAGCGCCAAAATAATCAAATTAATATGGATTTCTTGGTACAAACCTTCACTCTCCGCAGAAGCTGCTTCTTGCCTTTGTACCACGTAATGACGGCTGCTGGCCTCGAGCCCGCGGAGGTGCACGACACCTCGTACTTTTGTTCCGCCTTGAGCGGATTCGGCTTTTTGCTCATGCTCACTGTGAGCGGATTCACTGCAAATGAAGTTTTTTTTAAGTTAAATTTTGCTCCGATCTTGATATTGGTAGGGATTGCTTGTTTACTGAACGTGAAATTGAATTAAAAGAGGTTAATAGAATCAGATAATGGAAAACGAGACTCACAATAAAGATCAAGCTTGAGATGGGTGTCTCGGGGCTCCATCAGTTTGGAGTTGACAGCTCTGCACGTGAAGGATGATCCCAGGTCGTGTCTGGCCACCGCGGGCCACACCAGTTTGTTTTCAACAACATAAGCGTTGCTGCTCTCACTCTGCTCGTCCACCAGGTTGCCACCGACTAGCCATGTAACTGTTGGCTCAGGCCGGCCTATTTACATGACAATTAAATATTAAATTTTAGTTAAAACTTCAAACACAAGATTCAGAATATTCAACTTGAAAATTTGCAAACTAACAGAATTTCTGACTTGAAATTTGTCAAGTACAAATTTAAATTTAAAATTTTTTTATTTGATTTAAAGAAATATATATTAAAACAACCAAAAACATTAGAAAAACCTTTAAAAATAAATTTCTTTTAAATAATTTAAAAAATCACAATATAAATGTTATTAATGAAAAAAAAAATTATTAGATAAAGGTGCATCAATAGCAAGGATATATAATTTTATTTATTTTAATTAAAATTATTATGCAAATTGATCAATTGATACAATTCATTTTTTGAAACAATTTCTACTCCAACGATTAATATAACCTGCAGTTGCTAAGAAATTACGTTTCTGTTTCACAAAACAAATACTTATCAAACTATTTGCCACGAGCAAAAACGCTTTGACATATTGATTTTCAGTGCTGAGAAATAACAAATTACTTCTAGTACTTCAACACGACAGTTTATACACTGCGATATTATTTAGCACATGTCATCCGCGCGAGCACGAGTATGATGTAGCAATTTAATTCACTTTGCTTCATCAACTTTGTTCTCGCACCTGTTCCTGAATCATTTATGTCCCTCGGCTTGAGAGCTAACGCGCAATGATATGCGCAAGAGCGTGTCAGAAACAATTGTTTACTCGCGCCGAGTTTAATGGAAAGAGGGTTGAAATGAAATCAAAGCAAAACTTTTGCAAAAAGAACTCTTCGCAAAGTTTGCCACGAGCGAGCTGGCGTGGCTCGCGAGAATAAGCGATTTCGTGCGCTTCCAGCAGCAAAGCAAACACATGCTAAAAATTTTCTATCAATCGGCGTTGGTTTCAATTTTGCGATTTGTAGAAAGGGGAATAAGATATTCTTGCTATTATAACTCAATTTGCCAAATATAGCTTACTGCGTTTTAACAATACTCTGTTTTATGTATTATTTAAATTATCTTTCTTCTTTTTCTGACTAGAATTTCTTATTTGAAAATAAATTATATTAATTTTTTTACTAGCATTAACTAATATTTTTCTTCTTCAAATTTTGCAATTAAACTTACAATTAGACCATTTTCACCTACCTTTTTTTACTTATAGAAGCAAAACCTTATAAAATATACCATACGTTCTCGTATTTTAGTATAAATAGATTGATAAAAAATTTGATAAAGACTCCCACTCTTCCTAATTAATCAATTAAATTTAGATTTGAAACATATAACAAAAAAAATTAGAAAAAATTCAAAAAATTGAAAATCTAGATCTCAATAATTTTTATTTTAAATGAAATTAGTATTATAAATATTTTGCTGCATTTCATCTAGAAATTAAAAACATAATGGGGATATTTTGGTTTTAAAAAATACAGCTCAAAGTTAAAAATTATTGATGATTTTAATAAAAAATATTATTTTATTCTATAATAATTTTCCACTCCATGTATTTTTTTTAGACGTGTATCTAATTTGTTTAGCAACTGACCTCCTTTGACTCTGCAGGTGAGGATGACGTCTTCTCCCTCTCGCAAAGGACCCAGAGTGTAGTTGAGTTGTCGGTTCTTGGCGTCGAAGATGACCGGTTTTTCCGGCGGCACTGAAACAAAAACCACACGCTTTACATACACACACGTCTATCGATCAACTGTCACATTTAATAAAAGCGTCAGGCGCGTTGTCGTGCTAATCCATCGCATGATGCGAGCGTAAACACTTAATAATTCGCCCCTGATTGACAGACACACACCACGCATTTCAGCTGGCGAATTTCGTTGCGTTTTCTCTCTCTCTCTGCGTTTTGCAATATATTCGAGTTGGACAGTGAAGGGGAGTGGAATATATACGCGCTGCTGTGGACTTTTTACAGCCCTCTCTCTGTTTTCATAACTGGCCGCGGAATTAAATTTACGAGGACAGTTTAATTAAAAATGAATACATACTCATGCAAGTTTTTTCTTTGTCCGTTCTCGGGTGCTGCGGAATAATAATTGAATTATGCGTCGACGAACAAGAGGGGCCAAAGAAAAAAAGGGACTCTCTTTTCCCGCTTGTTTCAGCTTTTGTCTCGCTAAAAATTAAACGAGCTCGACACAAATTCCAGCGGCCCCGGTTCAAATCCGAGTAATTTGCATGCATAAGCTTTGCGATTGGAAATCAATTTGCCTGCTGATTAAACTTTTTGTCCGTTCTGATTTTGAATACACAGATAAAAGGCACAAAATACTCTGAAGAGCAATGTGAATTGTAACAGGAAAATTGGCAGCTGAATCAGTTAAACCCCTAATTTGTAAATTTAGAGCTTTTTATGCACAAAATCATTTTTATTGCACAATTTAAACTACGTCAAATCATTTCAACGCATCAAAAATTCTATATTTTGGCTTAATTTTGAACGAGTTTTGTTGATATCCGGGTATTTTTTTTTCTTTTAAATTCCTTCTATAGCTTGCTAACGACTTTTTTATGTCGGTTTATAATAAAAATACTAGAAGTAAATTAAAATAATTTATGACGAATGCAGACGAATGATGATTATAATGTTACGAAGAATAAAAACAAGCTGCTAATTGTAAGTGAAAATACAAAAATAATGCTTAACTGCTTAACCTGTTTTAAAATGCTTAGAAATTTTAACATATTCATATTATTTAAAAACATCGTAAATACACCAGAATAATAAAATAAACCATTTTTCTTAATTAAATACGTTGTAAGTTCTCTAAAGCAAAAAATATCAAAAAAATAGTTTCACCGAATAAATTTAAAAATAATATCTACAGATTAACTAATGGATATATAAAAAAGCAGTAAAAATAACTGTAAAAAGTAACGTTTCGAGAAATTACGTAACGTTGTTAACCTCTGCCCTATCTCTCCGCCGATCTAAAGAATCCCGAAGAAAATAAGGATTTCGAGACACGCGTCGTGCGCACTGACGTTAATACCGACAAATTAGAATTACAAATATCGCATGCTCGGCGGCTGCTAGGGTCTGTGTGACACAAATTTTGTCTCGCTCGGACGGATGGGCGACCGTTCGCTCTGTAAGCAGTAAAGAAAGAGTGCCTAATTTTTATCCCTGCGACGAAATATATTACAGGGGGTGCCAAAATCGCATTTTCCAGCCACGCGGGGCAACAAAAAGATGCAGGATTAGCGGCGTCGTGCGAAAGTTGATGGGGTGACAAATTTCACGAGCGAGCCGGCCGGGGCTTTGGTTAAAATTACGTTTTGCTAATTCGGCAGGGCGGCTGCAGTGACAGGGCGAGCGAGCGATCGTGGCGAGAGATATTCGAGAGCCGGGGAGGCGCTAAATTCGGCGCCTGATAAAATCGTAATCACATTAAAGTGCCGCGTGGTCAAAAAGTAGCGCTGCTTGTGCAGGTGATCAATCAATTCAGCTCTCGCGGAGATAAAAAGCTGCGGAGCAATGATGAGGAGCTGATACTTGGAGCCATTTGATGGCACCCTGGGATAATGTCAGCGAGGTGAAATATGGTGGCCGAGCAGTATCCATTAGAGATTAAGGGCCGCGACTAATGTCTTTCGAAGAATCACCTCTGATCATCCTCGGTCGGTTTTCTCTCCCTCCAGTCGGTCTTGTCATTCGCATGAAAAACACAAAAAATATACGTGCGCCCTTCATCTTTCTCTTTCCAACGTAATTCAATTTATTATTCACTCTCCGCGCGCGACACTATTCAAAGGGGACTTCATTTTGCTAATGCTCTCTCGCGTGGAATCGCATCAATGCGCCGCAAAATGAAATTTCTCCTCTTCTCAGAAAGTTGCCTCAGAGTGCGATGTTTCATTTTTCCCAGCAGCTTTTTAATTTCCTGCCCAGCTTTCTAGAGCGTGACGATTGCACCGCAACAAATAGAAAATTCTGTTTACTGTTTCTCCAAATGCGCGCCGCGTATTTGAATGAAAAAAGTTTTGCGTTGATGAGGTTGGGAAAAAGCGGTAGGTATTCTTTGTTGTGAAATGGAAAATTGTCACAAGCACCGCCTGTCAAAGAACAATACTCGCGGGGAAGCTTTGCAATTTTTTAATATTGCGTTTTAATGGAATCCGCTTTGCTTGATGCAATGCACGTCACAAGCACTGCTGCACGCAATTCACAAGCTGCAGAAGCGAAACTCCCTTTGGCGAAAACTTTATCAAGTTAAAGGTTTCTTTGGAGCAAAAATATTTTTCTTTTTACACTCAAAAGCAAACAGAAAAAGAAGAAGTTGAAATGCTTTCATTAGTACATTTCTTTAAGACAAATGATACTAGAGAAGTTTTTCTTGACGGTTCTAATTTGAAGGAAAAATAATCTTCCAAATAATTGAAGCAATATCAAATCCCATCAATTGTTGCATTTCAATTCACAGCTGGCATGCTCAAAGTATCATCAAATGATTTTGGTATAATTCACGTTAAGGTTGCCCATAATTTATCGGACAAAATAAATATTACCATTTGCAGGCAAATACTTTCTTCAACCTTCAGGACCACATTTCAAACACTCAAATTTGCTAAAAATCTACAAATTGCTTGTCAACAAGGTAAAGATTTTGTAAGCTTATGAACATTATTAAAAAGAAATAAGAATTTTTGACAGCCGATTTTATCTTGGAAATGTGGATTGATTTAAATCTATATTTATGTAGATTTTTGTTTTCTGTCACCAAACATCTTGTCATGGGTCTGTTTCCTTCCAGCATTTTATTGGCATGGAATTTGACAGTTGGCATCTGCATGTCGCCTACCTGTGACAGTGAGTTTGTAGCGGAAGGATCTGCTCGGCGAGTTCTTGAAGTCGACCCTGCACCTATAAATGCCGTCGTCGTGTTCACGCAAATCCTCGACCAACAACTGCGCGGGCGAAGCCACGATGTGGAATTTGGCGCGGCTGCCGAAAACCTCAGGCGCCGACCAGTGGATGGCTTCGCTTAGGGACTTGCCACGGACGTCATAACTGCAACAAAGACAAAACTCATGAGCTAAGCGAGTGATGAAATTGGCAATTTTTTCAGTAACGGTGAAATTTGTAAAAACAAATTCAATAATATCCACGAAAGATGCTTCAGAATTGCTTGAACTTTTAATCAAACAGAAAAAATGTATAAGGGTGCGTCCAGGAAAGATTTGAGGGTAAATGTTAAAAATTTTTCTTGAAAACATGCCATTCCAATTTTCAAGTATGTTGTTGGGGTGGTCAAGAGGCCTCGCTCACCAAATTTTCAAGTCAAAATAAGGGGTGCTTTTCCGGGAAATCAGATTTTTCCAAAAACAAAAAATATGGAATATCTTTGCTCCTATTGAGAAATTATTAATGATCTTTTCACTTCCAGACGTAACTTTTTACGCCCGACAACTTTTCTGTTGACAACTTTTGCGTAGGTCAAAGGTCAAGGTCACTAAATTGCAAATTTCACTTTCTGACGCAATTTTCGCAAAGAAGCACCCCTCAGAAATTTTTTGCAGTATAGGAAAAAATGTAGCCCCAAGTGTGTAGAACAACATCCTTGATTTCCAGAATGGCATTATTTTTAGTTTTTTAATTAATTTTAAATGAATATTAAAAAACAGTGAAAAATCGCTTTTCCGCAATAGAAAGTAATTTTCAAACAGCGATAACTCATTTTCTGTTAGAGATACGCAAAAATGTTATAGAACAAAAAGGATTTGTTTTGACTTTTTGCATCCAGCCATGTATTGTTTATACAGGTCAGGTCACTTGGGGTCATTGACCTCAGTGACCTGTGACCTTAAAGAGCAGTTTACTGAATATTTGGCACATAGTTAAGAAGAACTATTTTATGGAATGGTTTTAATAAGCTCATTTCCTACAAATTATTTTTAGAGGTCACAGGTCACTGAGGTCAATGACCCCAAGTGACTTGACCTGTATAAACAATACATGGCTGGATGCAAAAAGTCAAAACAAATCCTTTTTGTTCTATAACATTTTTGCGTATCTCTAACAGAAAATGAGTTATCGCTGTTTGAAAATTACTTTCTATTGCGGAAAAGCGATTTTTCACTGATTTTTAATATTCATTTAAAATTAATTAAAAAACTAAAAATAATGCCATTCTGGAAATCAAGGATGTTGTTCTACACACTTGGGGCTACATTTTTTCCTATACTGCAAAAAATTTCTGAGGGGTGCTTCTTTGCGAAAATTGCGTCAGAAAGTGAAATTTGCAATTTAGTGACCTTGACCTTTGACCTACGCAAAAGTTGTCAACAGAAAAGTTGTCGGGCGTAAAAAGTTACGTCTGGAAGTGAAAAGATCATTAATAATTTCTCAATAGGAGCAAAGATATTCCATATTTTTTGTTTTTGGAAAAATCTGATTTCCCGGAAAAGCACCCCTTATTTTGACTTGAAAATTTGGTGAGCGAGGCCTCTTGACCACCCCAACAACATACTTGAAAATTGGAATGGCATGTTTTCAAGAAAAATTTTTAACATTTACCCTCAAATCTTTCCTGGACGCACCCATAACTCATTTTTTTTTTTAAACTAGAGATTTATGAAAACATTCTACTTCCATTTGAATAAAAAGACTGACAAATATTTTTTTGATAAATCGGATCAAAATTTGAAGTTTAAAAAGTGAATTTTTGAGTCCAACATTTTTTGCTACCATAATTGTAATAGAAATTAAATCATAATTATTATTAATGTTGTATATTATTCAAAATTTTTACATCACATTGTTATCATACAATTGTTGAAAACAATTTGTATATGAACAGAAAGGAATTGTTAGGCCAAACGTCACGACTATGATATTAGAAGGATATTAATGAAGAGATTCAACACAATAATATCAGGCTCTTCCAGATCTTCATTGAATTGCTGTTGATTAGAACATTAAAATGCAGTTATAATTGAAGTAAAATATATTAATTTTCAGAATTAATGAAAATTTAATTTATTTTATGTAATTATTATAATCAAATAAATTTTAACAAAATTATTAAATTAAAATAATTATAACTTTAAAAACAAATTTATTAAATAATATTTAAAGAAATTCAAATAAATTAAAATAAGTTCACTAAAATTATTTTGTTAAAAATTACTAAATACATATTTCAAAAATAATTCGTTAAGTATTTTTGTTTTTTATTTTGCTTTCACCATATCTAACAACAATTTTTCTTTAAATTTTCTACGTACATTTTGTGATAGACTGTAGAATACTTATGAACTGAAGTAGGCGAATTTTATAAAAAGCCTACGGAGTAATTCTTGCAAGACTAATTACAACGGAACGCGCGGCTGTGCGGCCTGGGAATTGCTTTTCGCTGCGTTTACGAGGCATTTTATTGCGGGCTCGCAGGCTAATGAGACCGCGTGCATTATTAACGACTTGCGCCCGAGATTGTGACCGATGTGGACGCAGCAGAGTTGAGTTTCTGGATCCTCGAGGAGCAAACACACAAACTCGCGAGTGGGAGCAGCAGAGGGTTTGCATGTGTTTTGGCGCACAAAGCCGCCCGCGGAGCACAGAGCGACATGAAAGTGACGTAATCTTCTTAATATTGTGTTTTAATAAGAGCATTAATTTAAGAACACACGCCCCGCGTCGCCTAATGCGTGCGGTGCCGTATTCGCGCTCTTAATGACGCCGCGACGCGCCGCCGCCGCCGCTTTTTAAAAGATTTTACACCATGCGAGCAGCAGGCTGCACAGAAAGCCCGCTCGCTCTTTCTTTTACATGCAAATGAGCGCAAAGTGGCGGAACAAGCAGCGCCGCTCGAGGTTAAGGTACCCGCCGCGTTTTTGCCTTGATTAAAATTCATCAAAGATTTTCGATGAAATCTTGGGGATTAGCTCTCGACGCCAGCGCCAGAAATTTGAGTGAAATTCTTAATGGCTTCCTAATTAGATTCCTTTAAGGGGCGTAAACAGGCGCATCATCAAGTTTCTTGGCTGGAACACCCGCTTCTACTTTTTTATGCTTTAAGGATTCTGAGAAATATCAAAGATGGAACCATGAATTTAAATTAATTTTAAAGCGATAATAATTAATTTCATATTAAAAACTTTATCAAATCTAATAATGTGGTTTTAATTTTATTAAAAAATAATTATCTCAAAAGCACAAAACTCAAAATACGTCCCTGCTCCATTCTAATAACTCAATGTCAGGTTTATTTTGTTGCATTTGTTTCATTTTAAACTCATCTAATTTGAGTAGCCAGACGTCATTTCAATAAAATTGCTGCCAATTAGCGTTGAAACAGCAGTGTTTGGGCTGTCAAAAATACCGCAATTTCATTGGCAGCTCTCGGAATAATTCAGTGCCCAAGAGACTGAATATCCGCGGAAATTCGAAATAAAATGATGTTTTGGGTCGAGATCCCCAAACACACAGCATAGATCATCCTCGAAAGTGAGAGGATGCCTTAGCCGTGCATCACCAGAGATTGCGCCCCGACCGCACCAAAGTAGGAAAAAACCTCTCGAAGGGGACGCGAAATAATAAAGAGCAAAATATTATTTCGAATGGAACGGCGAATAAAATTGATCAGAACGAGGCCAAAAGTGGAGCTACTCTTCGATGCCTTTAGCAAAATTTCCCCCGAGACTCTGCTCGTGTCGGAAGCGAACGCTCATACACACTCGGAGGAAAGTGTGATTTTATTTATTCGACGCTGGCAGGTGCAACGTTTTGCGGCCAGAGATGTTCCTGGAAGATGGAATTATTTAATAAACGGGACGATCGGAAAATGGAATATTTGAAAAATTAATCGAAACATCACGGAATCAAACTCGTAGGAGATTTCTTTCCACAAGCAATCGGTTTGACTAGAATTACAACTTTATGTACCAGAATGAAATTGTTGCAGGGAGAAATTTTATGCTTGGAATTTGGTGATGAGAAATGAATGAAACTCAATCGTCAATCGTTGTTTAATATTATTATATGCCGTAGAAAAATTAATATATAAAAAATTTATAAGTTTTAAAGACAAATAATGTTTAAATTAATTTAAATTGCTATGAATAAATCAATATTTTCTAGAAAACTGTCTTGAATTAAAAAGCTGATTGAAACGTAGAGAACGTTGAACGCCAATAAATATGTTTGAAGAGTTTGCCGGTTTAATTAATAGAAAATAAAAGCTTACACAAATTGAAAGTTGTCTGAGCAACTTTTCCCTCACGGCAAAAATAGCGTGAATATTTTCTCATATCCGCTTATAAAATCAGCGCAAATCCCCTGCGTTGAGAGAGAGAGACGCGCACATAAGAGGGGCAGCAGGAAATAATCACTTTGACCGCCTCAGGGCAGGCCTGGTTTGCCCCATGCAAATGGTCTTTGAGGTTCTGCCGAGTAATTCGATCAAAATCGTACCCACGTGTGCCTTCATTTATGGGCACATACAAACACACACACACACCGGTGAGGTCAAAATACAATTACGGCTGAGAGAGAGCTGCACAGCACGCAGGTCCGTCATTGTAGTCAATTTCCTCTAATCGCCGGTCAGTTGTTGTTGCCAAATATACTAACCAGCAAGCCGAGCTACATATTATAGCAGAGACACATACAGACATGTCCTGCAATTCATCAACGCAGCTCTTGCATAATGCACGCAGAAATTCGTGGAATTCGTTGTTGACCAACGCCAATATCTGACGTGTGGGCGCCTGATTAGATTTTGTAGGTGCTTGGTTGGCAGGCAAGCTTTGCGGTTTGAAGCCATGTTATTTAACATTACCATAAATATGTTATCAAAATTATTCGTTATTTGTTTAATCTTTTATACGTCATGTTGTATATTAATTTTGATATTTGATTGTTTTTTGTTGGAAATGAAATGTATAATTATTTATTTTTAAAAATGTCTCCAACACAACCAGTAAAAATTAGCGGAAGTATAAAAATTTTAGTTTTATTTTATTATTCACACATTATATTAAAAAGATTTATTGAAATTTAATTTTTTTTGA